TTGACACGTGTAGATGCTCAATAATGTATCTCTTAACCCCCCACCAACAAGCTCTTAAGTACATGCATACTCTCACGAATTAATTCATCACACTCACCTGAGTTGTGGGAGGAAATTCAATAATATTTATTGTATTAATTTTTCAGATGTTTCACGATGGAAACTCTATTGTTGGACTTAAAGTTCGCACAAGTCAACAATACCGGTGCTTAAATTTTCTTGTTAATGGTGATAGGGGTTGTCCAGATTTGAACATGATATATCTAAATTAAAGAATTATATCATATAGAGGACCAATTCAACTAAATAACTTAAATTGTTGAGAAATACTCAAGTATAAATCCCGTGCCATGTCATTAATGTGAAACCAAACTCCAAAATTGATATCATGTAGTAAATTGCAAGTTTGGTCACTATGTTGTACTAAATTGTTTCATGTTTGCCACTAAAAATAACTTTTTTTTACATTCGTGGCAACTGAGATTAGTTCAATCGTACAAGTTTGGTCACTAGGTTTACTAAATTGTTTCATGTTTGTCACTAAAAATAATTTCTTACATTCGTGGCAACTGAGATTAGTTCAATCGTAAAAGTTTGGTCACTGACCGTCCAACTCTGTTAACTTCGCGTATGTATCGTGTCTTTTTACTCCTAAGAGCTTTCCTGGTGCTGCCGGTATCGTGGCAAAAAATGCTCTTTCATTGTATAAGGAATACAGTGTGCCATTGTTGTCGGTTTCTCTTTACTCGCGCCTTTTTGGACATATCTTCATTAAAACTCCAAAAAATTTAATGGGGGCAAGAGTCGTTTAAGAGAGAAAAAAAAAAAGAATTCTCTAGGGCTTCCTGTATTAATCAAAGCATACTGTGTTTTGGGCGTGAATCAAAGATGTGATGCATCTCCCATATTGGTAGCTGACTATCAAATACTTCTCCAAGCAAAGCAAACATGATTGAACAGTGTGAGTGGTGAATACACTTCTTCACTTCATCACTATACCTTCTTTCACTCACCTTTTTTTGGGTGTCTTATTCGCAAGCTAGCTATTCTGGCTGGCAGCTGCCCTCTTTGAAGTGCTATTTATTCCTCTTTCCGTGTATGGAACCTAATAGGATTGAATGTTGCTGGATTTTATCGAAGAAGGAAAGCCAACTGAATTGAAATTCGACCAAACTAAATCGTATCAACGGACAGTAACTACCTCTTGACTTTCAACTTACGACTTGATACTTGTGGTCCAACTTTTGGTATTCGTTTCTTTTCTTACATATTTAATATAGTTCATTCTCGATTTGATCTGGTTTCAAACATCCCTCGTAAGTCACAGACCACGAATCTCCTTCTTACACGAGTATTTGTCAGCACCGTACACATATCATCTCACCCCTTAGATGAGAATACTACAATGATTATTCTCATTTAAAGAATGACGAGTTTTTTTTTTAATACTTTTACGATATGGGTCGTCGTTTTAAAGTTTTCGATGAATCGTTTTATCTCACGCGGACAATATTTATTGAAAGCATTATAGATTCATATTGTATTATTCGAATACTTCTTCTTAGGGTCGCTTTACTTTAGATATTTAAACCAACTCGAAACTAAAAGGTCTTTAAGTTTACGAGTAAACTGTTAGTAAATGGTATAAGATCCATAATTGAACTTCTTCGACAACTCAAGTTATTGGAATAAACTTGTTTTTGACATGGTATGAGCGTCTTCGTGTGCTCGGAAGATATTTTGTTCGAATTCAGTGACCCCATTTATTAAGCACATTGTATTCAGAATCTATGCAACCTTCGAACCCATATATGAGTGGTTTTCGTTTGAAAGGACACGTTAGTAAATTATATGGGATCTATTAATAAGCATGTTCCAACAACACTTGATCCCCACTATAGACAATTGCCCTTAGGCCTTATAGTCTTATCACTTATGTGGTAAAGAGGTACAAAGTAAGATATATAAATACAAAATAGAGTGGATTAAAGACCAGTATGGTAAATCAATGAAAAAGAAAGGATATAGTTTCAATTCTCAAGAAATTTAAAAAAATTATATAGGGGGAAGGTGAAGCCTGGAATGGGAGGCAGTTTGATGATGATTTGATTCACTACTAGGCATGGATGAGTAAACATGGAAATGGAAATGGAAAGCATCATGTCCCCTCTCCTCCAAACTCTCTTATCTCATTACAACTCTTTTTTTTCTTCTTCCCTTCTTCTTTCTTTTAATGTTAATGCATATACAATTAACTAATTACCCCATTGTGTTAGATTAATTAATCTCACTGATTTGAATCCAAATCTTTTACCATTGCAGGCGTCACAATGTGGGTGAAATTGTCAAAAGACCAACAATTAATTAGTGGTAGGGTTAAAGTGGGTGTTTAGTCATGGTTTGTGTCATTGAAAGCTCATAGATTCTAGTTTTGTACAACATATGATTGCCTCCTCTGTTGTAATTTTGCTTAGTTAGTTAATTACCCTTGCCTTATCAATTATTACTATCAACTAACACCCTTACAAGTCACAACCTAGCTGACTGGCTAATATATTTCAATATCATAAGAGTAAAATTTGTACGGTACCGTGGTAATCGTTAACTAAATCTCATAACAACATAAGAAGAACAGAGTTGTCTCCATCACTAACAATCTGACTACCATAAGTTAAAAAATCTCCGACTCAACATCAAGTATGGAAAAAAATCATATTTATATTTCGTTGAGATTTGTTCCCTCGTATAGGTTTTCACGATGAAGATTCTAGAGGAAGGGCATCTTTTTTTTTTCTCCCTCTCCAAAACCAAACCAATGAAAGAAGCATATGATTAAGAAGGTAGTTAAGAAAGAGGAAACAAAGAAACATGGCCATGCATCTAAGCTTAGCTAGGTAGGGGAGGTGTGCGATGAGTTTGATTATGGTGAGTAGGGAGACAAGAATCTATAATTAGCTTAAGCTTATTATAATTAATACATCTATACTCAAGGAAGCTTAGAGAGAGAGAATTAGGCTTGTCAAAATGTAACACCATGATTGTGATAATCTTGATATGTCAATGCCATGAGTAGATTGTATGCTTAACGTGACTCCAAATTATTCTCCCATATTATACTCTACCATCTAGTCTAATCTCTCTACTTGTGTATATCATCATGACTACAATACACTTCTCCCAATTTGTTTCATTCTATTTATTTATTTGTTTGTTTGCTTAAACTAGTAATTAATTGATCTACTGTATCGGATTTGATTAATTGTTTAGAAGACGGGATTATGGGGTTAATTACCCAATCATCATCTTCTATTTTGTTTTCCCTTTTCTCACTCTCACATAAAAAAAAATACTGCTTTGGCAAGTCGGCTTGGCCCAATAAGTTAAGGTTCGGCTGTAATTGTACTCAATCACATGGCCCAAACGGTGTAGATTGGGTTCGGGAAGGAAGCATTCTTGAAATTCTCGCTTTTCAACGATGGGTTCTAGGGAAGTACTGGGCCTCAAATGCTGGGCCTGTCCGCCTGTTAAAAGCCCATTAAACAAAAATGTAGAAGAAGAGATGTTTCAATTCGTAAACTAATAAAATCAAATATGGAACGCACACTTTTTGTCCAACAATACCCACCTACTTCTATAGTGGATTATCCTACTAATGGTTCATGGTATTGCCAAAACCAAACGGTTCCTGCTCTATTTCGATACGGAAATTCTCTTAAGCAAAACTGTATTTATACTAGTTAATTTTTTAATTATTGATTAGCTACTAGGTTTAGTTCATATAGATATAGGAATGACTGTTCCTCTAATAAGAGCTATCCCAAAGCTAAAGCATGCCTCCGGCGTTTATAGTTGGACTAGAGAATGGATATATTCTTGACCTTAGAGGATGATGATTGTGATTTGTGTGTGCTTATGAAGGTTACATGCAACCTCCAATTCTATGCGAGCATAGTTCTTATGATAAATTTGGTCATGGACAAGTGATGAATTTGAGCACTATATGGTTATTCTTTGATCAATAAGTGGGAGAAGTATTTATCAAACTACATCTATCAACCAAGATAAGAAAATAGTGTGGTGGGGGATAGAAAGATATTGGAGAAAACATATTTATCAAAGTGACATTTGACAAGATTAAAGAGTCTTATTTCAAAAATATGTTTTAAGATATTGGAGAAAAGTAGTTGTGGATTCAACTGTATTCGCTTATTCAACTGTGTTTGCTTATTTATCTCACTCATGAAACAAGCATGGTGAATACACACAAACAAAGAAAGAGGGGGTGGACCGACAAGAATCAGAAACATACTCAGAAGTTACAAGAACATGTTTAAGAGACAAGTTAGACTTAATAGAATAAAACAAACCAGAATGTTCTTACTTCTTACACAACACCATATGTGTTGCATAAGAAAGCATGGTTTATATGAAATAGTTTTCTTACCTTTAGGAAGTGTTGAAAGACACCAAGTAGTGGTTGGCATAAACTGATCGCAATCTTGAGCAACTTCATTGTAAGAGGTAGGCTCTGCAATTGAGTTTACTACCATCACAAACTTTGTGTGACGATCAACTAACTTCTGATTAGACAACAAAAATGATAAAGGATAAAACAAGAAGAACTAAAAACAGAATAACACACAATCCCTAAGTTCAACATGTGATTTTCTATTCATAAGAGGACAACCATAAAATTCGACAAAATAAAATTATAGTGGATTCTCCAAAGGAGCAACACCATCATTAAATCCCATATAAGGATTGGACTCACAAGGAGAGGAAATTGGGTCGAGTGCCAATATGCTAGACTGACCACTAGTTGGGTTAACTCCACAGTAGACTTGCATGAAATTACAAGAAAATAAAAATCACTAGACTCTACATAATGGTCTCGAGAAAACAAATGAAAAATAATTTCATGGAAGATGATATCTCTACACTCACATATATAATTAATAGCAAGATTATAAATATGTAACCTTTTGTTGCAAAAGGCAAACCAATAAAAAGACAAAGATATGGTGGAGGTTGAAAGTTGAAACTTATCCCTATATATGTGCTACTAAACACACAAGAAGAGTCATAATGAGGAAGAGGACCATGCGATAAGACATAAGGAGTTTAATTCACCAAAAATGGACTTAGAAGTCTATCATTAAAAAGTGGTATGTAACACAACATGACTCCAAAATCTAGATGAAAGTGATGGCTGAAACAATAAAGCATGAGATACACGTAGTTTATTGAACGAATGATCTCGACTTTAATGTTAAATTTTGCTTGGACACAAGAGACAAAAAAAAAATACATCAACAAAATGCGAGCTTCAAAATATCTATGCATAAGATAGACCCTGGTGTTTTGAGAAAAATCATCCATTATTATCAAAAAAATATCAATGACAATCAAGAGAGTGAACATTATAAGGTCGCCAAATATCAATATGCACCAAATCAAACAACCAACAACTTGTGAATCACTTGCAATAAAGGGCAACCACTTTTGCTTAGTGATCGAATAGCCTTGACAATGTCTATGATAATTAGAATTAATAGTACTAGTCCTAAAGCGAGAGTTTTCAATTTAGGAAGTGATACATATGCGAGACGATTGTGCCAAATATCAAGGTCATGTAAAGTGGTATCAAATCTTATACAAGACAATGATCGTGAAAGATAGTGAATGAACACAGGGTGTCCTTTGTCATTCTACTTACAAAAATCAAATTAAAATATTTTTAAGTGTCATTTAAATATTTTTTAAGTGTCAAAGCGGCAAAATGACAGACCGTTTATATATGAGTAACTTGTACCTAAGCACAATTTTGCAAGGAAACAAACACATTGCACAAAATGGTATAGAAAATGATGACACTTGAAAAGTGATATTTTTCATCCCTGTTATAAGTTAAACCCATCTTTAATTGATGCAATCGTGGTTGATTTTATGATTGGAATTATATAAAATGTCCGATGTGGAATTATTAGACGTTAAGTATGTTCGGTACTTTTTTATGCAATTTGGGTAGTTCTTAGAGATTTTCCGGAATAAGCAGGCCTAAGACGGTCTCTGAAAGGGAGATGGACCATAATGACACTTGATTCATCATGGAAGCTACAAAGAACCCTTATGGGTCGAGAAGTGGAAACGAAAGAACATGTCTAGAAAGAGAAGAGAAATCACTATGACACCATAATGATTGAGAAAAATGTTCGATTTTTCGTTCAACGAAGTGTGAAATTTACATTATTCGAAATTACAATATATATACCAACAATCCTAATTACAAAACCGTCCATGAAATAAGTAGCATTACAGAAAGTTCCTTATAATAATGCTAGCTTACACTTGAGTCTTAACTCCAACTAAGATATGACTAATTGACAAACGATTTCTTTCCATTGTTGCAAGACTGGAAGCTTATGAAAGGGAATCAGGGTAGAAAGTCAATCTCGACAAATTTGAAGTTTATTTTAACAAGAATATTGGTGAAAACGGGAACCTTGAAATCGGCCAAAAACTGGGTAGGTTGGGCTAAGTACCTTGGCCTCCCAACAATTGTTGAGAGATCAAAGGAACTGGTCTTCTCCATCCTGAAAGAAAGAGTGGGAAGCAAACTTACTAACTGGAAAAGCATATTTTTCTCTGATGCAGGGAAGGAGATTGCACAAGGCAAAGCGACTTATGCAATGTCTATCTTCAAGATCCCTAATGGTATAATTGATGATACACACAACTTGATGGTAAATTATTGGTGGGGACAGAAGGGTAATGAAAAATGAATACATTGGAAAAATAGGGAAAGAATGTGCAGAAGGAAAGAAGATGGAGGCATTGGCTTTAGAGATATGAGGGTCTTTAACAAAGCAATTCCAACAAAACAGAATTGGAACCTTCAATCCAGACCTGAATCTTTTGTGGCAAAGTTGTTGAAGGCAATATTGATCAAGAAACTATTTTTGAAGCAAAACTTGGATGGAGACCAAGTTACATATGGAGAAGTCTTGTATGAGCTTTAAACCTGATTAGATAATGGGTGTAGATGGAAGATTGGATCAGGGAAGGATGTCAAGATCTGGGGAGACAAGTGGGTGCCAAGTCTTCAAAGCTTTCAGCTTTACTCCTACAATCCTTTTAAGGACATTGATGCAAAAGTCTCATGCCTAATTGATCAAGAAACTAAAAGTTGAAGAAGAGATTTGTTAGAGTTGATTTTTACTCAGGAAGAACAAGAGGCCATTCTGGCCATCCCTCTATCCTCTACAATTGAAAATGACCAACTATGTTGGACTGGTAGTGAAAAATGGGAAGTATACTGTTAAAAGTGGCTATCACATGGAGATTGGAAGAGCCAATGAGAAAGATGCATGGGTCTCAATAAGTATAAACGATGAGCCTTTTTGTTTGAAAATTTTTTCCTGGAAAGTTGAAGATTTTCCAATGGAAAGTAGCTCGCAACATTGTAGAAGGGTGAATGATAGACCTCAGGATCTAGGGTGCGGTTATTGCGGTGGAATTGTGAATGAGATTAGATCAATTAGGGATTGATCTGGGGATTTAGAGTTGAGAAACAAGTGGGTAGAGAGGGTAAGGGGGTTCGGCCGAAGCCTGTAAAGAGAGAGAGAGAGAGAGAGAGAACTCGGCTAGGGAGAGGGAAGACATAGAGAGGATTAGGGTTTTGATAGTCTTATTAGGCTTAACTGTAGACCTGAATTACACCGATACTTATACTAATCGACAATTATCCCCTTTACTACCCAAAATGATAACCTAATTATAATACTCCCTACCCAACAATAAACCAATCATAATAGCCGAATAATAAACCAACAATTACTACTAATTCTGAATAATTATAAAATGTGTTCATTAGTGAAGAACTGAAGTGATGAATGCCCAAACTGTGAAATGAAAGAGACACTTAAACACTGCTTGGTGGACAACTATTGGGTGTCCAGGATTTGGTGTAAGACACCAGTTGACAAGCTTTTCCTTCTGGCAAAAAACAAAAACCTGTGAAGATTTGGGAAAGATCATTAAAGAGGCAAATGAGGAAGATCTAACCAGATTCTTGTATCTTCTCTGGTTTTTAAAAAGAGAAAGGCATAACTTCCTATTCAGTAACAAATTTATGCAGGAATGAGAAGTGTTTCTCATAGCTGACAACTACATCAATGATTTCTTGGAAGTTCAAGAGCGAGACAGACAATTGGAAAGAAGAACAAATAGGAACGAATGCAAATGGAGAAAGCCTCCTGAAGGATGTTACAAGATCAACGTGGATGCAGGAATCAATAATCGAGACCGTCAGACATGGGATGCATTATGAGATACAATAGAGGGAAGGTAATTCTTGATGCTGCAAAGAGTGAAGACATTAAATGGACTCTTGAAATTACAGAAGGAAGAGCAATGATCTTTGGATTTCAAAAGGCACTAGAAAGAGGATTACATCCTTATTGTTGAGTCAGATTGCAAGACGTTGGTGAACAGATTAAAGAGGTAAGAGGATGTTATAAACGCGCTGCTACGGATCGGGAAATCGCAGGAATCGACAAAGCAAGAATACGAAAGCGAGAATCGAAAACACGACACACGATTTACGTGGTTCACTAACACGATGTGTGTTAGCTACGTCCACGGGCGAGAGAGAGCCAGTTTCACTATATTGAGGAGATTACAGATTACAGAGGAGTATGAGAAGTATTTATAGTACTTCTCCATGTGGGTCTAAACCTAATCCAATCTGGCAAAGGAAACGGTTACAGACCAGGCCCAGAACCCGAACCCAAATTACATTGAGCCCATACACCGTGGGCCGGGGGCGTTGCCCCTGGACCCCACTCGCTGACCGGGCAGCGAGACCCCCGATTACCAGTCGTTGCGGCTGATAATCCGATTCAAGTCATATCAACAGAGGATGTAGAAGTGAATTGGGAACTATCTGCAGCATCAGCAGAGATTTGGGAAGAGAAGCAATCGTAAAAGAATTGACAGTATGGACTTTTGCACCAAGAGAATAAAATAGCATTGCACATTTACTTGCTCATTTTCCTTTTAAAGATGACAATGAAGTTTGTTGGTAGGATTTTTTGCCTCTGTGTACTGCTGATGTAGCGCCCTTGATGCACACACTTTGATTAATTTTCCATGAAACACCGATAAGCTTTCTCCTATAAAAAAGACCGACAAAAATTAATGATAAAAATGAAAGAGTTCGTGAATATCTTATCTTGTCATGCATGCAAAACCCTGCCCATTTACTTCATGCAATGTAATTAAGTTGGTAACAAGATATTTAATTCACAATTAATTTTAGGGGAGATCGTAATTAAGCTTTAATTAGACACCTTATCTTTGCTCAATTCCCTGAATCCAATGGCTTGGGAAAACAAAAATCTCTAAAACAGAGCTCTCGTCAACCCCTTGTATTAACTAACCCCTAAATAACCCCTACCTTCTTTCACTTCCTCACGATTTTACGGCTTTAAAAAAAACCCAAAGTCCCGAAAAAAAGATTTTTCTCTTTTTCTTTCCAATCAAATTTTCAACTCATTTTCTTCCCCTCTAACATTTGTTTTGGGCAAACTCCATCCTTTTAACCACCTAACAAAAAAACAAAAACTATGATATTTCGCCTTAAATTTTATCTAGTACTTCTCTAAGAACTCCGGCAACCTTTCGCAGGCAGGATGGCCTTGATTGGGAGATCTTCCTCTCTATCCGAACTCCTTCTCGGCCTCCTGTCTCTCCTCCTCCTCCTCCTCCTCCTCCCCTGTTCTTCATCCGCCGCTCGAGTCGTGGCCACAACCGTAATAAGAAACCCTTCCTCCCCTGACCTCCCCGTATTTCGGGAGGCCCCGTCCTTCCGAAACGGGGACCAATGTGGGCCCGCGTCGATCCACGTGGCGATGACCCTCGACATCAACTACCTCCGGGGAACGATGGCGGCCGTGCTGTCGATGCTCCAGCACTCGACCTGCCCGGAAAACCTCTCGTTCCACTTCCTCTCCGCCCACTTCGAGCCCGAGCTCTCGTCCAGCATCAACCGGACCTTTCCCTACCTGGCCTTCCGAATCTACCACTTCGACCCGAACCGGGTCAGGGGCAAGATCTCCCGGTCCATCCGGCAGGCCCTCGACCAGCCCCTGAACTACGCCAGGATCTACCTGGCCGACGTCCTCCCCTTAGAGGTCGCCCGCGTCATGTACCTCGACTCCGACATCATCGTCGTCGACGACATCGACAAGCTCTGGAACGTCGACATGGAACGAAAAGTCGTCGCCGCTCCAGAGTACTGCCACGCCAACTTCACCCCGTATTTTACCGACCGGTTCTGGTCCGACCGGAAGCTGGCCGGAACATTCGAGGGGCGGAAGCCCTGCTACTTCAACACGGGCGTGATGGTGATGGATGTGGAGAAGTGGCGGGAAGGAGGGTACACGAAGCGGGTCGAGGAGTGGATGGCGGTTCAGAAGAGAGAGAGGATATACCATCTAGGTTCCTTGCCGCCGTTCTTGCTGGTTCTGGCCGGAAACATCAAGGCCGTCGATCACCGGTGGAACCAGCACGGTCTCGGCGGGGATAACTTCGAAGGGAGGTGCAGGAATCTGCACCCCGGGCCGATCAGCCTGTTGCATTGGAGCGGGAAAGGGAAGCCATGGCTGAGGCTCGATTCGAGGAAGCCGTGTATTGTGGATTATCTGTGGGCTCCTTATGATCTCTACCGCTCCTCCAAGCATGCTTTGGAAGAGTGATTCTGGTTCGAATGTTTTGGGTTGCCGGAAGGGGAAAAAGAACGTTGCGATTTGTTGGAGATGAGAGGGAGCTGCATTGTTTTAAAAAGGTGAGGAGTACTCTCTGGGGAAAGGAAATCTCTTTGCGTAAATTGGGAATTAGGTTCTTGTTTTTCTGACCTTAATCTTATTATTTGATGAGGGAAAAAAACATATGGAATGTGCATATTATTATAAATTATATACTGAAAATCTCAGAGGGGAGAAAGGAATCTATAGAAAAACCCTAATTTAATCCAAGGATTTTCGTCGAGTAGTCTTTTACCTCCCTCGAGGGTTTTGTACATTTCGATGTTTTTTTTTTTCTCTTCTTCTATGTATGAAAGCTTCATCAAACGATGAAATTGGTTTGAAATGGTTGATTTGTATAAAGAAATCAATATTTTTTTATAATTGTTGAATATTTTTTTATAATTGTTGATCTCAAAGTTTGATATTAGGTTGATAATTTTATTATCTTTTGTTTAGTTTTTCTTTTTTTGTGTATTTCGCTCTCTTTTTTCATTCATTCCGTTGGTTTTATTAGGTTAAATCTGTAAACATTATTGAAGCACAGGCAAGAAAGAAAATTGTTTCAGTTTTTTCCCCCTCCTCAACCACAAAACAGAAAAAAGAACACAAGAAAGAATGCAAGTTAAACCATCTGGTTATCTCGGACTGATTCTGACTCCAGAACTTCGTCGAAAAACATAACATTGTTAACAGAGCCAACTTGAAAGAAGAACAGTCGATTTGCCGGAATCTGGAATCGCAAAACTCAGGAAGGAATCTCAACCAAACTGCAGTCTCAAAATCATATGCCGTCTATGTATACAACAGGGTAACCTAGTATCTACGAGCACTGTGTCGGAAATAACCTGAGAAGGAAAGAAGGAAGCTGAAACGATTGATCCATCGCCTGCTGAGGAAGGGCTGAGGTTCAAGCAAAGACATCACACTTGTTCTTCCAGATATCATCATCACATTTCAAACATTTTGAAGGACTAGGGAGCAGCTGGACACTTCCCCAATGTGTTCCACAGAATGTAATCACCGCAAGTAACCTGTAATTATAAATCAGAGACAGATTTATTAATGTCGTTTCATGCCGAGTTGGTAAACTACCTAATTGAATTGAAGGGCATGAAATAGACCAAACCCTGTTTTTTCTTTAGAACAAAACTTGAGCCCCAGTAGTGGATATGGCTCCGAGTAACTTTTTTTCTATCGCCATTGAACTCGGATTACTATGGAAGGAGGATAAACTCACCTGAGTTGAGAACTCCACCGGGGCTTTAACAGATGGATAGATGCTCAACTGTATCAAAAATTGAATACATGAGATTCTTATTTACTCCCCAAAAAAACTTAAAGGTATATTGGTTCATGACAAATTATGTCTTACTTTCACGAGATTCTCTCTTTTCAGTACAAAAAGAAAATTGAAAACTATGCCATGGATATTTTTGTGTTTCTGAAACTTCTCAACAAATGGAAGTTCATCAGACCATAAGCACTAAGTGAGTTTAGAATTGAACTCACGGATTTTGGATCGATTGATATCCCTGACAATGAGGCTCCGGTCACCTTGAACGATACCTGAACATAATTTAAGATATAGTTGATAAAGCTGCTGTTCAAGTTTAGTATATGCACTCTATTCAACAATTTCACACGTGCACTACCAGAACTGATTACGTAATCAAGAGAAGTTTAGTTTAACCAGCAGTAGTCCATCAACTCCATGAAATAAGTTCAGAGAATATAAGCTTGGAACGAAAAGAATAAAAATAACAATCACAACCATCAGGCAACCTACCTTAGCATAATTGTATGCTTGCCAGCAAAATGGTTCTTCCAGATCAACTGGAGGAAGATCCTTGTTCATTTTCTCCATCAGGAATTCGTCCACATTCACCATATTGTTTGTATTATCTGCCTCAACATCACTGTCCTCATCAGCGATATTCCGAGAGCCCAACTTGGAGGATGGTAGCCTCTGAATTTGCCAGGGGGCGAATTTAACTGTCCCAGGGAAAGTTGCTTCGACGCTTCTACCAGAGAGACTCCGCCCGCTCACAATGATTTTCCATTCAACAGAGTGCTCAGTGTTTGAAACAACCCCAATAGAGGGGGTCCCATCAATAGAAACAACCCTTCTCCTAGGAAATGGCATTGTTACCGTACAGAACTCCATTGCTAAAGGACTCTTATATCCTTCCATTAAGTGCAGCTTAAACAAAAATGCACCTTCATCTTCAGAGACCATTGATAGCTGGTAAAATCCCTTTACAGGAGGGTCCCTTCTACAACTAGCTTGATAACGGACTAGAACAAAATTACCCATCGGAGGAGAAAACATCACACTCTGCTTATCCATACCATGCTCAGGAACTTGAGCACATGGATGAAAGGACAAAACTTCAACATTACTCTTGTTTAAGCCTGTCAAAGGTAGTGACACATCAGGTAACCCATCCAACTCTGCTCGACAATTGATTTGTCCGGCTACTGATATGGTATCTGAGATGTCATCCCGATCGTACATAGCAGCATTTATTGTCTCATGAACAGTGAAAAGTATCTTTTGCTTCCCTTTGTAAAGATATGGCTTCCACGCTGGCTGCTTGACATCTGCTGGAGGCAAGTCTGATGAAGAAAAGCCGTTGGCCTTGATAGCAAATATATTCAGATAGTTAAGGTCCAAGGGAGTACCTGAAGAAAAGGATATACAAAGCATCTCCCTTAAAATCCATATTTCAGAATATCAATAAGTAATCCTTGCTGAAACTAGATCAAAATAAGGTACCAACCGAAGGGCATTGCACTGTTTATGAAATATCGAAGCACGTCTTTATCCAAAGGTTTGGACCCAGCTTTTGGAGCATCAGATGCAATGGATCCAGCAGCAGCAGTGCCTGAAGGGGTGGCAGCAGCAACTGGTGCAGCCACAGGTTTAGCTCTAGCTGCAATACCAGTTATGCCTATGCTCCCAGTCAATGAATCCAACAGTCCTCCCACAGATGGAGAAGCACTAACAACCACCTCAGGTTCCACCACATCACCAGTAATAATGTCGCCAATGGCATGGGCCACCATGAATGCCCTGTAACGATATAACAAAATCAACATAAAACACCATAGCAGAAACAAAGTTATACCCAGAGTTATACATCAAACCACAGTTGCAAGCAACTTACCATACCCTGTGATGGAAGGGAGATCAAGCAGGAGACTGGACAAACTTGGTTCTTCCCCAACGGTAGCCCCACAACCAGGCTTCGAGCACAATTTCGCATAAGCCTTCAGATGCTTAGGCTCAACGAGTGGCAAAATGAGTATAGAATAAGTACCCTTCAAGTGCAGAATCAATGGCCACAACAAAAGTTTATTCTCTCCTCCCTCTTCTCCGCCAATTTGCAGGCTTATCACATGTCGTGTAATCGGATCATCGACCCAAGAATCCGAGCCTTGGGTCGACTGTGCCAGCCTAATCCCAAAACCTCTAGGCGATCCTTCCCTGCCAGAATCCAATACGGTAGAACTTGTAACCAATTCACTAAACTAGGTTGACTTAAACTCAACATTTCATCGAACTAATTCATGGAACCACAGATATAAGAGCTCAACTCTTTACCTCCTCTTCCGTTCTGCAAATGCGGCTGCGAGTTCTGAATCATTTGGAAGAAACGGAGCTGAAGCGCACTTAACCGTATCCGTACCGTCTCCGGCCGTGTTGTCGCCTTCGGCCTTGCAAGCAGCCTTCCACCGTCTCTCCACCACCGGAAACTTCCTAACGAAGACGAAATACCGAAAGCACGAAACGAACGAATCAAGCAAAAACGCCATGAGCATCATCGCATCAACCGACGGAGGATCGAGAGACCTACCTGGAGAAAACCACGGCGTCGAAGCTGTTGAGGATCCACAGAGCTCTGACGCCACAACCACCGGGCATCGCCTTCTCTCTTCACGCTCCGTTCCGGCGGAGCTGCTGCTCGTCAGTGGATTGATTCGTCGACGACCGGCTGCTGAGGATTCGCTGGACAAAGAGTGTCGAATGTCGATAACCACCAGAGCAAGAGAAGATCGAGAAAATCCCGTGGAGGGAGAAAGTAGAGCAAAGAAGTGTATGCTTCTCCGGCGTCGTTTATATCCTGCTTCCTGCTCAGTTAATTACTTAAATCCCTTTCTCGGGAAAAATTTACCGTTGAGCTGATCTTGTTTAACTAGCATGTAATTAATAGCTAATTAAAGTTAAGCCTAGCCTTACTGAGCTAATTGTGCCATTAATGACAGATTTTGTGCAAGTGACATAAAGTGTTTGAGTTCACGACCGAATGTTGAATCGAAAAATTAGTAATTTATAGTTCGTCGATTAATCGTTCATAGAATGACATATCAGATAAATACACTAATTTGAGTCTCTACAAGTCAACAATACCACTCGATGCAATTTATTCATACAACAACACTTTGCAACCTTGCCACGCTTATTCAGAGCTAACACACCAATGTGTAACTAAATAAATACAGGGGGGGGAAAAGGAAAGCAGGAAAAATAAATAACCAGGCTTTATGCACAAGTTCAGCACCCTGACTTTCTGAGACTACACGGACTTTGTTCTCCCTGTGTATTCTACATTTCTACTACAGATCGATGCACAGGTAGGAGATGACAGAGCCTGCTCTGCGCTTGGTCCTCTCGCTCACCTTCCACTTCTCCACCAGCACCTTCTTTATGTTCGGGCAACCGGAGACCAGCGTGGCGATCCCCACGGCGGTTACACCAGGGCAGTAAACGACGTGGCAGGATTCCAGCATGGCGCAGTTCCTGACGAGGTGGGAGAGGCCGACGTCGGTGATCTGACGACAGTGGGAGATTACTATCTCTTTCAGAGCTGGACAGCCCTCTCCTAGCTCGGCAAGCGCCATATCGCCCAGATTCTGTTTCAGAAAAAAATGAGCCCTCCATAGTTCATGAATGGGATTATGGGGAAGCAGTGCTGGTGAGATGGGGGGATTGGAATCATGTTTATATACCTGAAGCACGCTCACGTCGAGGTAGCTGAGGTCAGGGCAGCCTCTTGCAACTGCTATTATTCCGGCGTCGCCTATTTGATGGCAGCCACTGACGTTTAGGGTCTGGAGGGAGTGACATTGGCCAATGGATACAAGGGCCTCGTCTCCCACCCTGATCAACAACACAAGAAGATTACATGGAATTATTAGCTGGTGTTTACTGTTAGCTAGCAGCCTAGCACCAAATGAGTATTCACTTGTTCCTGCTGAAAAATTATGCCAACGTGACGGGTAACTCATGGTGTTCGCTATGGTTATGCCAACAGAAACAGAACAGCTCGATGAGCATTGACAGATCAACAAGGGCATGGGGAAAAAGTAAATAGGGTTTGTGGAGGCCCAAAGGGAAAAAGGAGGGGTAACGGAGGTGGTCAGGTGAAGAGTACTTTAACCTGTCACAGAATCTAAGGCTAAGATCCGCAAGTGATTTGCAGTTGTCGCCGATGGCCATAATACCTTTGTTCCCAACCTGCGGCAAAGAGGTATTAGATAAAAGTAAGTAATATATGTAATATGGACTGAGATATATAAGTCCAGCAGAGAGTGAAGGAGAAAACTCATAAAACTAGGAATATGTTGTGGAGAGACCTCATAACACCGACGAATATGAAGTTTCTTCAAATTTGTGCACCCCTTGGCTATGCTACAAATGGCATCATCTCCAATGCTAGAACAATCTACCAAGTGAAGGGCCTCCAAGAACTTACAGCCCTTTCCAATTTCATGAAGAGCATTATCACCGATCCTTTGGCAGTATAACAATGCCAACTCAGTGAGGCGCCTGCAACCAGTTGCAAGCAATGTTTAATAAAGCAAAGCTGCTAAAGGGGTGTGTCTTAGGTGATAATATACAAGCAGCACACAATATACTAAATTTGGAGGCAAGCAGATAGAAAGAAGTGTCTAACTATGATCCAACAGGCACAGCAGAAGAGTTAAGGGAACATACGTGCATGATCGTCCAATGGCTTCCAATCCCACTGATCCAATATTGTGACACCCATTAACTTCAAGATGTGTGAGTTCTTTACAACCCGTGGCAATTGATCCTAAACCCTGGTCACTGAGGAAATAGCAGTCGCTCAGAGTAAGATTTTTCAACTTCTTAGATCCAGCTCCAATAGCACACAATCCCCTGAAATGTAAAATAAACTGTCAAATTTCAGCAATCATGCCATACGAGCTTCTGACGAGACCAAATCATTCAGTGTTTCTAAGTTCTTCATGGCCTGAATTTCTAGAATAGAAAAGATAGAACCAAGAGGGACATCAAATTTAAAGTAAACGACACGTTACAAAAGCTTGTCAAGACAGACCTACTTTTGCAGAATAGACCAAGTAAAAATAAGCAAAAGATAGCTAACCTGTCAGTAAATCGCTGGAAGCTGTACAAAGCCAACGCCTCCAGTGAAGAGCAATATTTTCCTACAGCTATAAGAGCGTCGTCAGTAACATTAATGCATTGCAGCTTCAAGACTTTCAGAAGAGGGCATCCTTTGGCAACGGCAAGAACCCCATCATTGTGAATGCATTCAGAGTCCAGTGACAAGGTTTCCAGGGATTTGCAGTGGGAACCCACTGCCACCAACGATTTGTCTGTTATCTTTGCACAAGCTGCAACCCCAAGAGTCTTTAGCGATTTCGAGCAGCCTTCAGCTAGCTCAACCAGACCCACGTCACTCAACCCTTCACAAAACCGCAAATTTAGTTCTTGTAATTGCTTACAACACCTTCCAATAGCAGCCAGACCTCCATCACCAACATAGCAACCCTAATGGAGGAAGAAAACATCATTACTAGGCAGAAACAGTTTATGTTCCCATTCTGTTGACAGATGCAGACTGCTGAAGGTACCAAAAGACAACGAAAGCATTGAAACCACACTCCAGATCATTGTCAGAGACCAATTCAAGAAATTGCGACAAGCAATGCAATTTTTAAAGAGAAACATCGAACAGAATGCTCAAGAGAAACAAGGGGAAACATCGATTGATGAAGTAAACAACTTGGAGACCTACCAACCGAGTATCAACCATAACACATTCAACCTAAAGTTCTAGGAGATGAAAATAGAAGTTGACATACCTGCAAATCCAGAGATTTCAAGAGCGAGCATTTCAAGGAAAGAGAGACTAAACCCAGACTTGAAACATTGGAGCACCAGATTAAGCTCAAACGTTCGAGAGCTGGGAACTGATCACTAAGTGTAATCAACCCAAGATCCGACAAACAGTAGGAATCAAATTGTTCGGCTTCAGGCATATCCTCTTGAAACACGCTGTGAAGCTTGAAATAAGACGATCCTGATTTTCTTCTCTTCCGCCCCTGCAGCATTAACACGCTTCAAAATCAATATCCAGAGAAGGGGATGCGACGCGATTGAAGAACATAATCACACAATTGAAACTAGATCGCTGAAACCGTACAAGCTGGGAGGGGATAGAAATGGAGAGGCGCTCGTCGATGTGGATGGTTTTGATGTTGGGGAAACGGCTGGAGAGTAAGTGGATGAAGAAATCGGGGTTACCGGAAGCGCCAATCCGGAGAGTGGTCCGGCTGAGGCGCTCTAAGGAAAGCCACCGCTTGCAGACGAGGGAGCAGGCGTCGCGGGTGTGCTTGGAATCGAGGCGCCGGAAGATCTCGAGGACGATCTCTTCGGGAAGGAGCGTGTTGATCCAATCGTGGCATCGCATGACTTTCGTCCGAGGAGACATTCGGCAGTCGGAGACGGCGTGCGCTGGCCGGGAAAATGAGAATTTCGATCCGCCGGAGAAGAGCGCGGGAGTTGATTGATATAAGAAGGGAAATTTGGGATGTCGGCTCGGAAAGATCGCATTTTACGACGACGACGGCGAATCGGTAGAAGTGGGCCAGCCGGAAAGAAACAGAACGAGATAAGTATATATGTATTCCAATTTTTGGGTACTATATATTTGGTTTGGGTAATGCATTTTTTTTTAACTTTTATATTATTCAAACCTATTAAAATACTATTAATTAACCAAATCTTTCGTAATGCATCAAAATATTAGTTATTTTTACATTATCGTTAATAATTTTGCAATTTTTTTCTTAGTTAAAATACTAAAATTTTGCAATGTTGACATTCATGTGTCTCTTCCAGGTCAGTATCATGTTGTCAAGTCAGTATTACTAACAAAATTGTTAATGGAAAGTTAACATTTGGCTAATTCTTAGTTTTTCAATAAATTTGAATAATATAAAGGGGTAATACCACTGGAAATACCATCCTTTAGCGAAAGTGCCATTTATATTACATGCTTTCAATAAGCACAAAAATATTCCAATCTATTAGGGGTTTGCGTCATTTGTGTTACACAAATTTCTGTTGACCGTTAGAAATGACGGTTGACCTAACGGTGGCCCACTTTGTGTCCATGTAGGCGTCACGTGGATGCCACGTTTGAAAAAATGCTTAAAAATATTATTAATTAATTATTATTATTCTATTACAAAATAAAAATTCTTTCAACCCCACCCACCCTATCTTTTTTACAGCATCGGGCCTCTATTCTCCCAACCCGAGGACGAATGGAGCTACTCTCCTGCTACCTCCGTTCCAAACAACAACGACGGCGACTGTGTCGACAAAGCTTTGGACGGCGGCGACGCTGGAGCTTAGGAAGGGGGTCGTGGCTGTGGAGTTTTGAAAGGTGACTCTTGCGCTCGAGCTTTGGAAGACGGCGGTGATGGTTTGTTGTTGAGGCGTCACAGAAGGAAAGACAAAGCAGGTCAGTTGAAGGGTGGAAGATTGGTCGTAACTAAGGTCGACCGTTGATCAACGACCATTTCTTTCCACCTGCAATTCCCCCAACGAATGCGAATCACCTGGCCAATTTTTCGCCAAATGGGTTGTTGTCTCAGTAGTGCAACCAAATCCTCTCCAATTGTTTCTGCTTCTCACCCTTCCTTAAAAAAACGACAACCGTTACGACTTCGAGCCGCCCAAGTTTCTCAAGCCAACCGCGAAAACCAGAGCTCTGCCACCGGACTGCAGCGAGGAAACCGTCAAGGAAGTCCTCTCCTCCGAAATCCCCAATCCCAAGCATCCCCACAGGCTGCCGTCGCCGCAACAGCAACATTACTCTGCCATTCCACCTCCCCAATCGCCGCTGAATCCAGTGAATCCGCAGCCAGAGGAGCCAATCGTTGTCTAGGAGAAGAAGGAAATTCAACCTTCGGTGGTGGAGAAACTAGTGGCCGAAGAGGAGATCTCGGAGCAAGATGTGTCGGAGGTTGCAGTGTGAGCGTGAGCTTTAGCATGAGCGAGAGCACGATGTCGACGGCGACGACGGCGAATGATGAGGAGGTCACGATGAAGCAGATGAAGTTGAGCATGAGATCTTCTCGGGCGGGGAAGATGTCTGCGGCGGCAAGGATGAATCGGGCGTTTTCGACGGCGGATGCAGACTCGAAGATATAGCTCTGCGCCGATTCGACCACTCCGATCCTCCGATCTCACTCCCAGCGACGATCCGAAGCCTTTGCCTCCACTCGCACGCTGATTGATTCTGCCCAGCTCGTCGATTTAGGGAAATTTTTTCCCTATGGGAAGCTAGGGTTCTTCTTTGTTTCACAGTCGAGGGAGACGAAGAGGAAAGGTGAGAACGAAATCAGTTTGGGGAGCCCGATCCCGTTTTTATTTTTACCTTATTTTTTTCATTTCAGTAAATAAACCACCTCACCAAGCCACGTAGGATCCTATTAAGCGCTGACTGGGCGTTGAAAAGTCGCACAGTTATGTTTAACGACCCAACTAACGGAGAAAACATTTTAGTATACAAATGGCATATCCAAAAAGATGTAATATTAATGGCACTTTCGCTAAAGGATGATATTTTTAGTGGTATTAGCCCTAATATAAAAGAATCTGCAAAAGGTTTGGATAAAAAATAGACATTACCCTATATATTTTACTGAATGGCTAAACGTCGTACTCACGCGATATTGCTGGATCGGGCTTTCGTCCATTGTCCTAGATTCCCCACTGCTGCCCCCCGTGGGAGTCCGGGCCGTGTCTCAGTCCTAGTGTGGCTGATCATCCGAAAAGACCAGCCAAGCATCATTGGCTTGGTCAGCCTTTTTTATGATGAGTGGGACTGAAGTCTCCATATACTTATTTGGGCGTTTGAAATGAAGTGGCCCGCTGGTGGACCCCCTTTCTTTCCTTCCTTTGTGGTGGATCGACGAGCTATATATTTTACTGAATGGCTAAACGTCGTCTTAGTTTTACTATTATCGCCCTAACTTAAAACGTAAACTTACTATTTTGTCATTTATTAATCAAACCCAAATTCAAAAAACAAACAAATCTTAAAATTCCTAAAACTTCTTGACCACCGCCGACATCCTCTCCGAACACCCTTTCCGGCGACCCCCCCTGCAAACCGCCATCGTTATTTCTACTCTCCGTCGCCTACACCCGTCATGGGTGCTGCTTCTGGAGTTTCCTGCCTTTTCCGCCGGAACGCATTTAGATTCGCTCACAGTGAAAGTAATCCCTATAAAGGGATCTATGTGGATTTCGATTATAATTTCTACTTTGATGAAACCCAAAGTCGTTTCTTAGCAAAGTGCCCTATTTGATTATGCCATCAGATCAATACTTCACTAGCCTATGGCCCGGCCGATTGGCCGGTAGAGTTTTATCTCGTCATTCTATCTTGTCACTATTTTTGTCTATTTCGAGTACTTAAATTTAGTAATAGTGCTACTTTACTATCAAGTACCTATGTAAGGGACACTACTCCTATGATCGAATAACTAATGGCCTTATTTCATAGCTTCAAGTATTGTATTTATCAATGTATGAGTTTTAGGTAAAAGGATTACTATCAAGTGTCATGAACACTAAATTATAGTTTATCAACATTCTTTCATTTAGTACTTGTATATTCCAAATCAGACCATAAACTCTTCTCTTACTAACTCCATCAAACTAATTGAATTCTAGTAGATATTCGAAATGGAGATTCATTATGTTACAATGACTTACAAAGTGGCCACTACATTGTTGTAATCTCATTTGCTATTGCATATTCAATGTCACGTAGGATTTGCAATTAACCAAATTATCATTGATGTAGTAACTAATGCTCTAAGAAATGATTAGCATAAGAGCATCTACATTGGTTTTGCATTTTCAATTGCAAGATGATATATCATGTGTTTCTATAATTGCAAAACCAATTGTATTAATGTGGCTATGCATGGTATATTTGCAAGTTTACAACAAATGCAATTGCATATAAGATCAACTAATAATCAGGCCGCGCTCCGCGCTGGGATTTGTGATACAATCTTAAAACAGAGACGTTACATCTTGTATTATCTTGTGTTTCATGTAATCTGTGTCAATTAGTTTGCTAATTATGATCAAAGAAAACAGAATATACAATAGTACAATAGAGCAAGACAAAAGTCAAAAGAAACACAATAGATCAACAATCCACCTTGAGAATGCTCATCTACGCAAAAGCACAAAACCCAACATCAATAAACCTGAATTCTAACCAAAATTACAGAACACCTTGTAAATTAACAGGATGAGCAAGCTAACGTCCATGAGATCCAAAGACTCGAGGCTTCTGCTCCAACTCACAATTCCGATGAAGAACCCCCTATAATATTATCCACCCTCTGCACAATCAAACCACATCCCAGGAACCCAGATAGAGATATGCAAAGGAGGAAGTGGGGATATAGAAGCTCTTCATGGCTCTTCTTGTTGTAGGCAGCCATGGCGGATATAGAACGGAACTTCACATGTTCAGGCTGATCTCTTCCCCACTCTGCCTGATCGGTTGCCAAATAAGGTACTGTTCTAGTACCAAATGGTGTTGATAATGGGTCCTGACCAGATGCATCAGCAAACAAACTTGTCCCACCTGCAAGTAAAGAAACTTTTAACACTATGTTTGGGAAGGGGTGTAAATGGAAGGGGGTGCAAGTTTGGAGGGGTAAACACAAGTTCCAAGGCGTTTACTCCCGTTTGGTTATTTTGTAACAGTAGGGGGGTGCAAAACGTGAGCGTAAATTCACTGTTTCGGCTTACCCCCCAAATTGGGGTGCAAGGGAAGGAAGGAAGGGAGGGGGAAGGGGGAGGAGGGGAATTATGAATTTTTAATTAGATTATAATTACATAATAATCAATATTATTAATTTTTTCTTATATCTATATTAGTGTAGAAGTTGTTTGGGGTTGACCGTTTGACCCAGAGAGCAAGTTTGTCAATGTTCGCCTCGTCAAATCGATATCTCTTAGTTGACCCGAATTTGCATTGAAAATTAGAGATAAGAAGCATTTGTTGAAAAGATAGAGAGGAACAGTTTAGTTAACTCGATTTACTTTAATAAGTAGTTAAAACTTACAGATTCGAATGTGTTTGACTAAGTTTGACCATATTCAATTTAAAGTTAGGCACGAGAACCCTCTTAGGATGACCAGTTACGAGTTGGATTTCGAGTTTCAAGGTTGCTCGACCAATGATTATTATTGTTGTTATAAATAATTATATCTGGGCATTATTATATAATAATTATTTTTATTAAAATTATTTTTATTTATTATTTTTATTATTATATATTGAATTTTCATGTTATTATTTTGTGATAATATTTTATAAATTGATAAATCTATTTTATAATAATATAATTACTTACTTTTTACTCTATTTGCACCCCCTACTTTTTCATCCAAACAACAATTTACCGCTCCACTTACACCCTCCACCAAGTTGCACCCCCAACAATTTACTCCTCAACTTGTACCCCCTCGAACTTGCACCCCTTGTTGCCAAACATAGTGTTAGCAGTGCAGAGGATAAAAAACCCAATATTATTTAGCAATTAAACTCGGATTTACAGCAATTAATAAATAAAACGGCTGGCATTAGTATTAGTTGGCACCGGTTAATTAATTAATGACGCAATTAGTATGAAGTAACTACCTCTTTAGGTGGAGCCGGTTTCTTCTCCTCTGGTTTCTTGTCCTCTGGCTTCTTCTCCTCCGCCTTCTTCTCGGCCTTCTCGCCGCCGCCTCCTCCGCCCTTCTTGTCACCGGCGGGAGGAGCTCCGCCACCTCCGCCCTTCTTGTCGCCGGCTGGAGGAGATCCGCCACCGCCTTCCTTCTTAGGCTGGGGCGAGACGATATCCACCTGCTTCTTCATGTACTCCTCCACCCTGGCCTTCACCCGGCCGGGATCCACCTTCCCGGTCACCGTCAGTTTGTTGGCCAAACAGTCCGTTTTCACATCCTCCACACCTGCCAAACAAAAATTCAGCCATCTTAGCAACCGATTTTGAATCTAACTCTCACCATCTCGATTTCTTCAATTAATTGAGCACCGAATTCCGATTCAGATCTCGAATCGATAGAGGGAGGAATGGAATTGAATTTTTAGCTTCCATGTGCTTGACGGAGCGTCAGATTTTCTTGGCGCACCCCTCACAATGCATGTCCATCTTGTAGACGGAGACGACCTTCCCTCCGCCGTCGTCCTTCTTATCACCACCCCCGCCGGCAGCGGCAGCAGGAGCAGTGGCGGGCTTCTTCTCGCCTTCGCCCTTCCCTCCTCCGTCTTTCTGCAAACACAGGACAGAAACACAAACGCGTCAGAATTACAGTGGACACTGTCGGGGAAATCGATTTTACTTCCGGAATCCCGTCGAAAGGAGAGGAAACAGAACGAACCTCGGCACCCACCGGAGTTTCTCTTGTAGGAGGTTTGGATAGGTAAAATGGAGTATTGGGACTCTGTTTGGTAGTATTAGGGAGAGAGATGAGAGAACAGAGGATTTTCGAGGAAGTTTGTTTATTTGAAGAGAGCTGAAGCGGAGGTGGAGGAGGCGGCAACGGCGGCTGTTGAGGCGGTGGGATGGCGAAGGCGGCGGCGACGGAGGAGGTGGCGATGATGGAGACGGTGGCGACGACAGCCGTGGAGGTAGAGGAGGCGACAGAGGAGGTGGCGATGGAGGCGGCCATTTTGAGAGATTGAAGAGAGAGAGGAGAAAGAAAGGAGAGAGAAACTGAGATGAAAAGAAAGGGATTTCTAATTTGTCTCTGACTCTCTCTCCTCTCTACTTATTGTTTGTGTGGTGGGGAAAACCCTTAACTTCTTATCACAATTTTCAAGAAATCTCTCGGGACCCGAAGAACAGTGCAGCAGTATCCATGGCAAGATAAGAGAAAAGAGCAAAGAGAAACGTACAGATTGACAGGTTGAGAAAAGCAGGAAAGAGAGAGCAAAGGGAAAATGAGCGTGCAGCTGAGGGCAACGCGGCACACACAAAAACAACGGCGGGACCCAGACACAGGCAACCAACCAATAAGAAAATGCGGCCGCAGAGCATGGTCTAATCAGGGGAGGGTGAACAGTAATTTTGAGTCTAAATGAATAGTAAATTGTGTCTAGATGAACAGTAACGTGTCTTTGCAAATAACTTGTTCTAAAATGACCTAAAAGTATGGGAATCCCTTTTTTCTCAATTTATTTACCATTTTATTTTATTTTTTCTTTTTAATTACATATGCAATTGCAAGTGTATTGCATTTATGTAAGTACAATGACATTAATATGATTTGGATTGAAAAATTATTTATGTGGCAATGAATCCTTGTGTGGATTACCTCATTATAATTTTTTTCTGTAATTAATTTCAAGCACAACAGAAAATACAACTAAATAAACAAATTAATCAAAGAAAGAGGTTAGAACAATTTTCAAACTGACAGAAAAAATGGGAATGGGATTATGGGAATAAAAAAGAAATATAAAATAATTAAGGAATGGTGGCAGGTTGGATCAATTTCTATAGGAAAAAATGGTACTGGGGAACGAAAAAGAAGCATAAAAAATTATTATAAATTGGTTGTACAAATACCATGTCGCCCTTTCAAATTGTGCGATATGAAGTGCATAGGCTGATGTGGCAACTCCTTTATATGGGACGGGATACGGTGACAACCCCATTAGGGGTTGTGAGATTGACAACCCATTTTATAATCACAGGATCCATTCTCTCTCTTGTCTCTTTCTTCTTTTTTCAAATCAATGGTACAGATTGGATTAAGGGTATTTTTGGACGAAAAAAATTGACCACACTAGATTATTACCCCTATTAATATATAAAACCCTACACTCTCTCTTTCCTCTCTCTCTCTCACGCCATCTTTCTTCTTCCTATTCTTCTTCTTCTTCCTCCCATCTCTTCCCTCTCTCTATCGGCTGCCACCACCGTCGTCGCAGCCGACCCGCCACGCCCTCCGCCTCTCATCACTGCTACAGCCCTCCCGTCGTCGCGCCCTCCGCCTCCCAGCACTGTCACGTCCCTCGCCCCGTAGCCATCGCGGCCTCCTCCTCCCACCACCGCCGCGATGGCCTCCCACCACCACCGTCGTCGCAACCCTCCCGCCGCCCTCTGTCTCCCACCACCATCGTCGCCACGAGGTCACCGCCTCTCCCCTGCCTCCCCCTTTCGTCATCCCTATTTTTTTTCAGATTTGTGATTTTTCATATTTCAAATCTGATTTTTTTTGTGCTAGTCTCTAGTGGTACGCTACCAGTGGTAATGGTACCGCTACCAGTGGTACTGGTACTGGTACCGCTACCAGTGGTACTGGTACTGCTAATGGTACCGCTACCAGTTGTACTAGTACTGCTAATGGTACCTCTACAAGTGGTAATTGTACCGTACCACTAGCACTGGTACATTTTTTAACGCACTAGTAGCGTACCACTAGTACTGGTATATTAATTACCAATAGACTAATAGATTGGTACACTTTTTAACGCACTGGTACATTTTTTCAGGTTGCCGGAGGGAGTCTGCCGGAGAGAATTCGTCAGAGAAAAAGTTTGTCCATCGAAGCGGAGTGACCGCAGGAGAAAGGAAGGGAGAGAGATAGAGATATTAATGTATAGGATTTAAATTTCAAAAAAATTGTATTTAATATGGGTTTTTAATTCCCAATCTGATTAATACAAAAAAGGTAATTAATATATTCCTTTTTTCATACCCAAAATACTCTTGGTTGTCAATCTGACAACCCCTCACCGTATCCCGTCCCCCTTTATATTGACATTCCCTTATAGTTTTGTGTAGATGGAATTTAATGTTACACACATTATATCCAAAAATAAACATCATCCATAGGATTTGAACCAAGTACCTCATGTTCATTTTAATTTAACTTATACACCAGTAGGCTACAAGCAATTTTATTGTTTATATTAACCTTATTTGTTATATATCTAATACTAAATTTTACACAAATCATTATAAACATTAATAAAATTCATTTAATAAAATTTTATTTTTAAGCATCGAATTGTTTAGTATTAGTTACCAATTCTTAGCTATAAATTATTTTGTGTGAAATAATTCTTCTAATTGCTTTTTTATAGACTAATTTATTGGAATTGAGGATTTCCATTTTCCTCATGTATTTTATTAAAACCGGCACAACCGACATGAATACTGATTGTACCAAGGTCGGACCATTCCACTTACAAAACCGGCACACCGGCATAAACCGGTTTAACAACCTTGATGTAGATGCTTTCATTCTTCCCCATACCTTCATCCAAACAGGACGCAAGCAAGTTCCCAGAGAGAGAGGCACTATTTTTTAAAGCCCAATTCCACACATCTACGGTTATTAGTGACTAGCTTTTTACCCGGCTTGTTGGCCGGTGAGTTTAATTTTACCATTTACATTAATCAATTTATCTATATGTTTAAACTATTTTGGATCTTCTAAATTTTTTACATTTGCATTCCTTGGTGATTATGCGGTGCGTCTATAAATTAAAATTCTCAATACTTAACACATTCACTTATAATGCTTCGATTCACTGATCATAAATCATGTCACAAAGATATATCACGTCCCATATAGAATCTTATGTCAAGATTTGTCAATAATGATACTCAAATTTTTTTGTCTTATACAATATATGTCATTCAATGAATGTCGAGTTTGGAGGAACTCTCAACCAATGATGTTGCTCAGATGAAGACAACTTAATATGTACCAAGACTCTCAATATTACATAGATTTGATCATCCCAATTGAAATTTTACTGTCTTAGTGTAAGATCATATTTGTCTATCAAGACACTCAATTTAATATCTTATACAATATGTACCAATTGTTAATTCCTTAAGTTTAATATAGACTCACCCTCAACTCATGGTCGTTGTTTAAATGTTGGTTTAGAATCTCGGTCCAAGATACTCACACACTTTCAAGGGTTCTAATCTTAACATGGTCCATTGTTGTATAATTTTCTAACTTATCAAATATGCATTTGCTAAAATTTATTTATCTTTGGTGTTTGTTTTGAGATAAAAAAAATCCACTACTTATACTAATATCTTCATATTGTTGGTGTAATGCCACATCTATTGTCAATATCTAAGCATGATCTTATACTCTAAGTATAAAAAATGCTATCTGGACCACGAATTAACCGGATTTGTGGGCATGATACTATACCCTAACCCTTGATGAGTGAACCCTAGGTCTTAGTTATCTTAATCATAGAGCTTAACCCCTAAGATTTTGCATGTAATTTGTTGCATAGATTTTAACGAATCATGACAATTGATTTTTGTTTATAATTAAACTCTTTATATATATATATATATATGGTTCAGGCTAGCGTACACCTGACGTACGTTGTACGCCTGTGTTCACATTCATTAATTAATATTAATTGAAATTGAATTAATTATTACTAAAAATTATAATTACCATAAGGTCCACACAAAAAAATTATATACTAGTCCCATGAACCTTCCTACTTTTCATACTTTCTCAATTCAACATCGGCAGATTGGATCCTCTAATGTCGCTCATCCCTACCGGTGACGCAGTGGAGGAAAAACTTAAAAAGAAAGATCAGAAGATCGATATTACGGTCTTGCAATAAACGGATTAGTGTTCTCAGTCTTGTCTAATGGTTCACTCTTCTCGATGACGAAATCATTGTCGAGCGCAGCCCGATATCTCTCAATCAGGAAATAGTAACTGATGTGAGGGAGAGGAGTGTGTTTTACTAACCCAAACACATGAATATTTATGAAAGATACAAAGATCTGTATTATGGCCTTGCAATCGACAAATTAGATTTTTGACTCTTCTCGATTGGGCCATCACTGGGATGTGCAGGTTTGCAGTCGTCGTTGTTGCCGATGAGGGTGGTGGAGGAGAAGCAGGTACTTCTATAAGGTGGGGCCTGCTATAATTTTTGTGGAGTTTATATTGCAATTAAGTGTGATTGTGATTATTTAACTGATGAACATTTGCTTGAAAATGCATCGGTGTGATCTGTTTTATTTGATTCCATGGTGATGGTTAGTAATTTGGATTTTGCATTTCAGAGTGGTAGAGTTTTATCGTGAACTGTGGCCGGAGCAAATCCCCAAACTTAATGAAGGATAAGAATCGTGGGGATTAAAGTTTAAACAACAATTAATTAACGGGTATGGTAATTATAATTATTATTTAATAATTAATTGTTAGGTGTGAACACAGGCGTATATCGTACGCCAAGTGTACGCTAGCCTTTGCCATATATATATATAGTTTAATGTATTTTTAAGTGTAATTAACACATTTGTTTGACCAAAATATGTAAACCGTTAAGAAAAATAAGGGGAAGGGAACAAATGTAAGAGAAAATAAGGTATGGAAGCATGCATTATAAGAGAGACGAAACATTGTTTTTCTTTATCGTCTTCATTTGTACAATCAGGTACTATATTATGGCTTCGTCAAGTTTCTATCAAAATGAAAAAACAACTTTTGAAGCATTTTACTATTTAATACTTGTTTTCGTTGATAGATACAAACATTAGAAAAAGATAGCGTTTGATAACCAAAACATAAAATTATATAGTTGGTTTTTCAAATTCAATTGATTATTAAATGTTGATTATCTAAACTTCCTTCATTAAATTTTTTTAAAATTTTTTATTACTTATCTGTGTGTTTAATTTATTTTTTATCGAAATATAACATATATTAAGTTTTAATAAAAAGAAAAAAAATTAATTGATCAGATTTAATCAAATATTTTTTTTGAAGCATTACAATATATGTCACTCTCCAAACATAAGTATACTACTGCTACACATATATATTGGAAAATACAATTATTGAATAAAAAAAGAAAACATTAAAAGAAGATAGAGATAGCTATATAAATGATCATTAAAATAAAAAGAAAATATTAAAAAAAAGATAGATAGCTCTACATTAATTGATCATTAACTAACTTTTTTGTTTGTAAAAAAAATTGTCCATGGCACCTTGTAAATTCTCCAAATGCTTATGTGGCAACAAACTACTTTTGAATTGCTATAATATTATGTATAGATAGATAGATAAGAATTTTTTTCTTCGCGAGATTGACAACTGGAGTCCAAAACTTTTTTGTCTTCGCGTGGACCCCACAATAAATAAAATATCTCTTGAATAAAAAAGAGAAGGGTAAAAGCGTATTAATAATTTATAAGCTAGGGCGATTAGAATAAATCAGGGCGACAATTAGCAACTCTCATATTTTATCGTAGGGAAAATGCGGTTTGAAAGCTGCCATATGAAACTTACGCGGCATCGAAGCATGCCACAACCACTCCTTCTTCCGAAAACTATTATCCATCCAACTTGTCTCACATATCCACTTAGTGGCGGAGGCAGGATTAGAAACTACCCATGTCCTCTTTTCAGAATATAAACATATAAATAATTAATAAATATAATTAATAATTAATAATATCAAGATATTACATTCATAAATAAAGAAATAACCTACTATACGATTATTATTTGCGTAAACTATAACAATGAGTTTTCATATTCTAAAATATATGCAAAATATATCCATCGTCTACACTCTTAAGAAAGTCTATTTCAATGTATTCCACTAAACAATCATTAGCAAATCGATCACCAATTCGACTTCAAAGCTTGTTTTTAATATAGCTCAAGCAAAAAATGCTTTTTCTAAACTTATAGTTGCAACTGGTAGAATCAAAACTACCTTTAGAAGCAAATTAACTTAAGGAAATAACATACACTTATGTCTCTACCATTACTCAAGATAATTCATCATGAACAAACAGTTGTCGAATAATAATGTCATGAATGGAACCAATAAATTAATTAGGCTTTTTGTCAATTCATGAACAAGTGATGAGTTGTGGTATAGTGGCAAAATATTATTATGTTACGTGTAAGAGTTGTATTTTTTTCGAGCCCCAAATTTTACCACTGTCATGGGATAAGGGCAAAGGTGGCTGGCTCCGCCTATGCTTCCACTTCCCCATTTGACGACTTAGGTTCATAGCTAGTTGGTACCCGGACTTCACCGTATACTGACTCGACCCATCCTCACGCCAAATCGGCCTATCCTTCACAAAATTTCGGGGCAAGACTTTTCTCCAAACATTAATGACATCGATCCCCCTTCACCTTCAATAACTATAGATGACATTGTTACGCCTTTCTAAAGTGGTTCATTATCCATAGCACCGGCGACCTAGGATAATAGTCGGGCACTCAATTTTGCAGTGGCTACATCAATATCTTGACCACTCCCGACCTACCATCTTAATCCAGATACCACCAATTGAGCACCATGGAGAACACTCTACCAACTCCAAGACAACCTAGATCCTTTCCTTGTTGTAAGGATGACCCTTGTGAAAAATATTTTTCTTTATAAATCCGAGCAAACAAAGACTCTGGCTCTTCAAGAATTCGCCACCGAATTTTGCTAGAAGTGCCTAGTTGAACTGTTATAAGCGATGGAACCCTAACCCCCCTTCATGCTTGCTTAGACACAATTTCGGCCAGGACATCCAGTTGATCCCCTCACTTGATTACCTCACCAAAACCAATCCATATGCTTATCCAGTCGGCGACACAACGTCACTGGGAGCTTAAAACAAGACATCACATGTATTGGCAATGCTGCCGCCACTGATTTCAGCAATACCTCCTTGGCAACACAATACATATGACGTTGCTGCCAACCTTGAAGCTTTTGCAACAGCTTTTCCTCCAGGAACTGAAACGTGTCCGATTTTGGTCGTGCAATGAGCGTCGGTAGCCCAAGATAACAATCCTACTCACCTACAACTTCCAAACCCAGTCTTTCTGCCATCGACGCACACATATCCTCCGGAATGTTACCACTAAAACATACTGCCGACTTAGCTAAGTTTATCTTTTGGTCTCTCAACATTTCATACTCCGCAAGGACCCGAATTAAGCTATGTTTTTAGTACCATATAAAATTCACTTTATAAAATTACTTAACTATAAAAAGTAACATGTACCTCAAAAGTTTCTGACATTCTAGCTTATTCATCGATGAAAATTCGGAAATCAAAGTTGCACACATGCAATGGTTAAATGTCTTCAAATATATTTCACTATAAATATAAATTGTAAGTAAATTATTTTGAAATATATTTTATATACGCTTACATTCATTTTAAGTTAATATTTATCAAATTTTATAAACCGACATGAACTGATACAAAACAATTGTACCACTGAGCTAATCATATCTCTTGCTAAATCGCTACAACGATAAAAATCGATTTGACAACATTGTTCCACGCAAAATACCCATGGAAAAGGCAAATAGCTCTAGTGGGCCAAAAAAATCTCACATTTGGCTGCATACAAGAATATATAAAAATCATTATAAGAAGGAAAAAAATATAAAGATCAACCCAGATTGACTCTTCCGTGAGAAAGTCAAATAAGACAAAAAAATAATAGTTTCCGTTCAGTATTTTTCAGACACAAAATAAAGTTAAAATAAATACCGTTTAGCTGCCTGCTCATTCTTTTTGTTTGATCTTTTCCCTCTTTCCCACATTCTTGATTTCACTTTTCAGTTTTCACAGAGCAGCACCTTTCTGGGCGACCCACCGCCTTAGCGAAGCCGGCCGGCTTCTTTCTCCGGCACTCTTCCCATCTACGCCTCTCCCGCTGGCCGGCCGGCCTGCCTTCTGCGGCGTTCTCACTTTCTCTCTGTCCCATCCGTTGAGAATTTTGCAACGTTTACCAGCCAAGCCATTTTCTCTTTTTTCTCCGATTTCCTCACCTTTGCTCAAGATTTTCCACATCGCCTCTCCCTCCGTTTAGCTTCTAGAACCCATTGCCTTTGTTAGCACTTAGCAGCTTCTTCGCCCTTCTCCTGTGTTGTTCTCCGGCGCTGTTTCTCTCTTGGGTTTCTTGCAGCTTTTACCAGCTCCCTCACCCTCCCTCGCTCAAGCCTTGTACTGGGTTGAGATTTCAAAACAAAGGAAGCTAGGCCTCACTTAGGGTTTGGGAAAGGGTGGAAGCTAATTACTGCCCGATCCTATCTTGACATTTCTTTCTGATTTGCCAAAAGAAATCATGGCTCCAAAATCAAAATGGAAAGCGGGTGGGGTGAAGAAAAAAGGACCCAAGAGAATCCCTCTTCCGGCGGTAAGTAAAACACACTCTGGATCTGAAGTTTGCAGTAAATGCAACTGATCAATGTATGAAGAACGGCTTTTGGATGTATCTCAAGTTCTCAACAACGTAATCTATTGAGACGGATTTGTTGGTTTGGTTGTCATAAATAGGGTTTAGAGCATTTTGATTCTAGCCACAACATATGATGCATTGTGCAAACTAATTTGGTTCTTGACTGTACGTAACCAAGTGATCATTTACATGTTCTAGCTAGTATCCAGTGATTGATACCTATTGGGAGTAGTAAAGCAATTACTCACCTCTTTTGATCCTGGAAAGTAGAGAATAACCCAACTAATTTTCTACTACTCTGAGTTTGTTTGAATGCTACATCGATCATACATGTATATACATTAACATTTGAATTTCTTTTAGGATCTATTGCCTGGTGCGCCTCTGAGTTTTGACTGGAGAGATGGATTAAACGGGAAGGCAATCATTTGTAGTCCCATAATGAAACAATTTGAGGAACATGGAGGTACGTTTTCTTACACGAGCTGCTTGCTTTTCATTAAGCCCCCTGCTTTCTATCCTAGATTGACATGCATTTATTATTGTTACAGTTTAGTAAAATGTGCTTGATTTAGTTTGCTATTAGAGAAAAGAATCCTAGTTTTTGATGCAATGTCTTAGGCGATTAATTAATGATGGAGTGCTAGCTTTTAATTGGCCAAGTAGCTATTGTTGGATATTACTATTGATTACGTTATGATGTTGACTAATTAGGTAATGACTAAATGTTGGAACAGTTAAGAGAATGGCGCAAAATTTAGAGACACGATTAGAGGGCTGTTTGGGATTATTATAATAAGGTTATGTAAAAGATGGAACACCACACATGAACCGATAAGACAGACATTCATCGGGAAATACTTAAATTAGTTAGTTATTGTTCGAGCCTAATAACTCTCGGACCTGCTCCTCTGGACTTCGATATGACGGACTTCTCACCGGGCGCCTAGATCCTGCAGAGACAAGCGCCTAAGGGCTTCGAGATGCCCGTTAGCACTCCAACGCTCAAGTAAGATCCAAGTCTAGAGAGAGAAGTACTTTGTAGATTTTAGTGAGAGAAGCCAACCTGCTTAAATGCTACCTACCGAGTACTATTTATACTCGTCGAGGCCCCGACCAGGCTCCTAGAATCAAGCTCCACGTCAGCGCGTCATTAAATGCTCGGTACGGCCCAACGGTCGGGCGCCTCCACGTGGCAGTTCCTGAGCTCCTGGCACCTGGCGCCTGCAGGGACCACCTAGCCAGGTGGCATACTCTCAGCACTCTGGTCCCCTTTTGTCGCTATGCGCCTGCTAACTGTTGACTGGGCCTTACTCCTATCTTTTATCCCTATCTCCTAAAGTGGGCTTGGGCCTGAGCACCTTGGATGGGCCAATGTCCCCCAATATCTCAAGTATGCACACTCCCAACAATTGTCCCCCAGTTAGGCGCTCATGGCATGCCATGAGTGTCTAACTATACGTAATTCTACTGCCCATGGCGTCCAATCAACTACAAGCGTCCTATCAACTAGAAAATGATCTGGGCACCCTCGGCCTCTTTGCTTTAATCGTTTAAATCATTTTTGGGCGCTCTGCTGGGTGTTTTCGTGAACAAATCCTGGCCCCCCGTTCTTGCCCCGACCATGGTTCCATTGCCCCTTGTTGTTCCGTCCGCGTTTGATCATTCCTAAAGAGGCGCCCAAATCCACTAGTTAGGCGCCGCAGCTAGTCCGCATTTGAGTATCCCTAAGAGAGCGCCAAAATCATCTAGTTAAGCGCCTCTGCTAACCAAATTGTGGAGTTCATGGCGTGCCCGTCCCTCTATGCCCCCTTCTCCGTGCGTCTTGAAATTTGAATTTCAAAATATATATATATAATTTTTTTTTTTGAAATTCAAAATTCTAACGGACGGTGAGGATGAGATCGGAGGGTCGGGCGCGCATCCCCAAGGTTGCCGTTGGGTTCCTCCCATATAAATACTTCATTCCGTCCCCTCCCCTCTTCATTCACACAAAACCTTTCTCTCTCTAACTCGCTCTGCCCCTTTCTCTCTCTACGCCGAGCTGCCTGTGCGCCTGTTATTCTTTTCCTACTTCCTCATAATGTCCGCCAAATCTGGCTCGGGCGCCCCCTCCGCCAGTCCGGCGAAGGAGAAGCCAACGGAGCGCGACGTTTTACAAGAATTGGAGAGACACTTCTCTCCTGATCCCTTACGCGAGAAGGGCGCCTGGACCCCTCGCGCTAGGTCGCAAGCGTCGAGCAAGAGCGATGCTCCCTCGACCACTACGCCGCCCAGCTCTCAGACAACTTCTGCCCGAGACACTGCCGACAAGGGCGCGGCGGCGCCTATCTCCAACCCTTCTGCAAACCCGGACTCAGATTCGGCGGCGCCTTCGAATCCCCAATCGAGTACGTGATTCTCTGGCTTTTTTTTTGTTTTTTTTTTAGGGCCGGCGCCTGTAGTTCATGGCGCTTCGAATTGCCTTCGAATCCCCAATCGAGTACGTGATTCTCTGGCTTTTTTTTTTTTTTAGGGCCGGCGCCTGTAGTTCATGGGGCTTCGAATTGATACCCCCTTTGCGTCAACCCTTATAGGCGCCTCGCCTGGATCATCGAATTCTTCCGGACCGACAGTGTCTCCCCCGTCTTTGGATTCGGATGCCGAGGAAGGTGATTCTATTAAACTACGGGGATGGGTTGACACGTGGCCGTCAGGGCAGGCGCCTGATGAAACACACCACCTTTCGCTTCAAGAAGGAGGGCCACGTAAAATTTCAACCATCAAATCGTTGGAGTTAGAGAATTTGGTCGTATCGATGCAACTTCCGCGATCCTGGTCCTATGCGCCTGCTTCCAGTATGGCCCGGATTGGAGTTGTTGGACCGCGGTGGCTTGGCGTGTATCGGGAGTACTTTCGTTTCGGACTCCGATTTCCCCTCGACCCTATCCTAGAGGGCATTCTAACCACCTGCCGATGTTCGCTTGGGCGCCTGTCGCCCTCCGTTTTCCTTATCCATATTTTGTTCAAGTTGAAATGTCGCCAGCATAACGTCGAGCCCACCTTCAACCTTTTCCACTACTTTTTCAACATGGTGTACTTTGATAACTGTCTATCGCTGCAAAGGCGCCTAGGTCTCCCCGGCCATTTCTTGATAGAATGCCCTAAGTTAGGGAGGGAGTGGTTTAGGAGCTACTTCTTCGTAAAGGCGCATAAGGATTCATTTTACGAAAGTGGCGCCTCGTTCACCAGAGGTTGGGTGATGGGCAGTCATGAGGCATTCAATGTTGATGTGACCCTTTCCACTGCTGAGGAGATCGAAGGCGCCCGTCTTATTTCCTTGTATCCGGTTAACCTTCGCCCCACAAGCTCTCGGGCGCCTGTTCTGGAGGAGTATTATCGTGATGGTGTGCGCCTATATATATATATATATATATATTTTTTTGAAGTCTAACTAAATTTGTCTGTGCAGGCGCCAACTTCACTTCCATGAGCACGCTGATGAAGTCGCGATTCGCGCAACTCGGACTGGCACCCAAGCAGGCGCCTACTGCCAAGAAAGCTGTCAAGAAATCCAGCGGAGCCGCCAAACCCATCTCGTCGAAGGGCGCCGGCTCGAAGACAACTCGGGCTGCCCCCGTTACTAGTAAAGGGCAGGGGCGCCCAAGTCGGAAGGCTAAATCTCCGAAAAAGATTCAACCGACCAAGGTGCCGAGCCCACAGGCGCCAGAGTCTTTGGGAGATTTGCTCACGACCTGGGATGCGCCTCCTATTGTTGATCCGGTAGATGTGCAGGCGCCTGTGGTTAACCTGCTCGAGGGATCCGACGATCCCGAAGACAACGAGCCCTTAACCGCTAGGAAGAAGCGGAAGGCGCCCAGCAGGATGCGGGCAAACGTATGCGCCCAGCTGACGATGCCGAGGTGCCGGAGGGATTGAAGAAGTGGCTTCAACCTCCGAAGCATAAGGTGAACATAGTTTGTTCCGACCGCGCCGCTTTGGAACGAGGCGCCGCCATTCATATGGCTCTTACTGCGGGGGATGTACTCCGGGCGCCCCTAGACCTGGAAGGCGCCGATCCTTGGGGTGAGGTGACCAGAATAAACACCCATGTAAGTTGTTTGCCTTGTGTTTTATTTGACATCTTTGTTTATACGTTCAAAACGAACGCCTAACCATCTTACTCTACCCTTCCGCCTATTTTGTAGATGATGCTGGTGGCGAAAAAAGGAATAATGGAGCGCGAGGCGCTACGCGCCCAGGCCTACGAGGCGTCCACCTCGCTCGGTGTGGCCCAGAACAACCTTGCTACTGCTCAGAGGCGCCAAGAGGAGCTGGTGCAGATGTGCAATGAGGCACAACTTGAGGCCGCGAAGAGCGCATCACTTGTGCAAATAAAGATCGATGAGGAGAGAAAGCGGGTGCGTGAAGAATTCGAGGGGCAGCTCGAGGATGAGAAGAGGGCGCATGCCGAGACCAAGGTTAGGCTGGAGAAGGAGAAGGACGATCTTGAAAAGGAGGCAGGCGCCCTGAGGAGTGAGATGGACATTCTGAAGGAGGAGAAGGGCGCCCTGAAGAAAGAAAATAAGAACCTGGGCCGGGAGAATAAAAAGCATGTGAGCGCAATGCAGGCGCTTAAGGAGGAGAAGGAGGCGCTCGAGAAAGACAAGCAGGCGCTCGAGTCAGAGAAGGAGGCGCTGGAAGCGCAATTGGCGGATTTCGCGAAGTCGAGTGTTGGTCAGGCGCTTAAGGCTGATGCCGCTCTGAACAGCATTCTTCTGTTGCGCCAGAAGCTCGTCGCAGATCATCCTGACCTGGACTGGGACCTTCAGTCGATGGTGAGCTTCGTCATCTCCCATATAGACGAGGCGCCTATGGAAGGAGAAGCACCCGCGGATGACGGGGCGCCTGCTGATGGAGACGAAGACGAGGATGAAGTCGATGGTGTTTCTTCTGCCCACTCTGATAACGAGGTGCCGGCGGGGTAGTGCCGAGCACTTGTGTTTTTTTTTTTTTAAGAACTTCGAATTGTGTTAATCTTTTTCCCCTGCGACGTTGTGAATTTGTCTATGTCCCATTGAGGCGCTTTGGAATCAGATGTTGGCGACGTTCTTGCTTTTGATGGGCGCCTATCCATACTATCCCCTCACAAACTTTCATAACAATACTTTGCTATGTTAGGCGTTTATCATGAATGTTCATGAACTTCTCTATTTAGGCGCCTTTGAATCAAATGTCTATGACTTGCTTTGCCTTTGATGGGCGCCTATTTAAGCAATCTCTTCCACATTTTCATAACTATATCTTGCTAAGTAAGGCGCTATAACGGGCGCATTGCATCGGGCGCAAATATACGGGCGCTATGATGGGCGCTATAATGGGCGCAATGGTGTATGCCGATGCAAAATTTCGTAGATAATAATTAATCCGATTGTGGAAAATGGGCGCAAAATATGGGCGCTTTACATGGTGCGGGCGCAAATGGGGCGCTTTACAAAATTACGGGCGCAAAAAAGGGGCGCTTTTGACTACTCAATCATAAACTTACTAAGCAAGACAAGCCCTCCCCAACAAACGCCTTGTTACTTACTTCTACTCCTGGCTGGGCGTCTGTGCCTCTGTCACGGGCACAGCATCAGTCATTCCCTCCATCTCGTACCTCCGCAAATTTTGGGCGTTCCATGTCCTCTTGACCCTCTTACCCGACATGTTTTCCAGCTTAAACGTATTCGGGCCAACAACTTCCTGAATGCGGTATGGTCCCTTCCACTTTGGTGCCAGCTTCCCTTCCGCAGCATTGGGACGAAAATCTCGTTTCAGCACAAGATTGCCAACAGCAAGGTTGTGCGCTCTCATCTTCTTGTTGTAATACCTTGCTACTTGACTCTTCATTGCGACCAATCTTAGAGCCGCAACCTCCCGGCGCTCGTCCAATAGATTCAACTCGTCGATCCGCTCCTGGGCGCCCATTGACTCGTCTCGATGAGTCATTCGGAAAGTCGGGACTCGCATTTCTATAGGCAAAACAGCTTCGCTCCCATATGTCAAGGCGAAGGGTGTCTCGCCGGTAGCCACCTTGAACGTGGTTCTATGCGCCCACAAAACGTTAGGCAGCTCCTCTACCCACTTGCCCTTAGCCTCCGTCAGCCTAGTGTGCAATCCATGTAGTATGCTTTTGTTGGCCGCTTCAGCCTGTCCGTTGGCTTGTGGGTAAGCTACGGAAGAGAACCTCAAAACCACTCCATTCTCATCGCAAAAGTCGATGAATTTTTTGCAATCGAATTGCTTACCGTGGTCGGTGATGATAGACTCCGGGAGTCCGAATCTAGCAAAGATGTTCTTCTTGGTGAACTTCCGGACTTGTGACTCAGTGATCGATGCCAACGGCTCTGCCTCAATCCATTTTGTGAAATAGTCCACTTCCACGATCAGGTACTTGAACTGACCAGGCGCCTTAGGAAAGGGGCCCAGGAGGTCCATGCCCCACTGTGCGAAGGGCCAGGCGCCTACATTACCCTGCATAGGCGCCGCTGGGATGTGTACATCGTTGGCGTGAATCTGGCATTGGTGGCAAGCCGCCACATGCTTTCCGGCGTCCGCCCGTATTGTTGGCCAATAATATCCTTGTCGGAGAAGAATTTTTTCCAGGCTTCAGGCACCTGCATGCATGCCACAAGTTCCTTGATGAACTTCCTTGATTGCTTCCAACCCCTCACCTTCAGTTAGACACCTCAGATAGGCGCCCGAATGTGACCTCTTGTACAACACCCATCAACTATGGCACAACGGGCCGCCTTCCTTCGCAAGCGCCATGCCTCTTTCGGGTCCTCTAGCACCACTCCTTGGGTGAGGAAAAGCCAAATTGGTGCCATCCATCCCTCTCTTTCTCCTGTTGTAAGAGATGCCATTACTATCTCCTCCTGCGGCACCTCTTTCGTCACAATCACCGTCCGACTTTCCTCAAAATCTAGAGCCGTTGCTAACTTGGACAAAGCATCTGCATGGGCGTTCTCTTCTCTGGGAACATGGGTGAACGTCACGCCTCGGAACCAGGCGCACCTTTTGCGTACGGCATGCACGTAAGCTCCTAACGTCTCTTCCTTCACTTCATACACCTCGTTCAACTGATTAACCACCAACGCCGAGTCTGTCTTGACATTTACCTTCTAGGCGCCTAACTCTCTTGCACAATGGAGCCCCGCAAGGACGGTTTCGTATTCTGCCGCGTTGTTTGTCTTAAGAGTAGCGAACCGTAATGCCACCTCATGTAAGGCGCCCAGCGGACTAACGAGGACTACACCAGCCCCTGCTCCTGCTCTGCTGGCCGCTCCATCAACGTGCACTTGCCAACATTCCTCCACATCGGCTCCACCGTCAGTTACACCTTCCGCCATAAAATCTGCTAGCACTTGAGCTTTGATAGCTGGCCGGGGCGCATACTGTATGTCGAACTCGCTGAGTTGCACCGCCCACTTCACCAGGCGCCCGGACACATCCATCGACCCTAGTATCGTCTTGAGGGGGAGATTTGTGAGCACCACGATATGATGAGCCTGAAAGTATGGTCGGAGTTTGTTGGCGGCCATTACTACAGCCAACGCCGCTTTCTCGATAGGCGCATACCTTGTCTCGTGACACACCATGGTGCGACTCACATAATACACCGGCCTCTCTTCGTTCGTCAATGGGTCTTTGGATATGAGTACCGCACTCACAGCGATGTGGGACACAGCTATGTACAAGTATAGCACTTCCCTATCCTTAGGCGCCGTCATCACCGTGGGCGCCGTAAGCAGTTTCTTCAAATCCTCAAATGCCTCGTTACACTCATTGGTCCATCTGAACTTGTTAGCATTTTTCAAAACCTTGAAAAAGGGGGCGCCCCGGTCGGAAGATCTTGGGATGAAACGCCCAAGTGCTGCTAGTCTCCCCGTCAACACTTGCACCTCCTTAGGCGTTCGCGGGGGACCCAAACTCATTATGGCCTCGACTTGCTTGGGGTTGGCTTCAATTCCTCGCCTTGTTATCATGAACCCCAAGAATTTCCCAGCCTCGGCCAAGAACACACACTTCTTGGGGTTAAGCCTTAACCGGAAGCGGCGCATTGTTTCGAAAGTTTCTCGCAAATCCGAGATGTGATCTTGGCGCCTGCTGCTCTTTACGATCAAATCATCCACATACGCTTCCACGTTCCTTCCCAACTGCTTGCGGAAAACTTGGTTTACCATGCGCTGATAGGTTGCTCCGGCGTTCTTCAATCCAAACGCCATCACTCTATAGCAGAAATTCCCGAATGGCGTCATGAAAGCTGTCTTTGCCATATCTTCCTCCGCCATAGGTATCTGATGGTATCCTGAAAACATATCGAGAAAGCTAAGCGCCTCATGATAAGCTGTAGCATCCACCAACAAGTCGATACGCGGCATGGGGTATGCGTCTGTAGGGCATGCCCGATTAAGGTTGGTGAAGTCTACGCACATTCTCCAATATCCGGACGGCTTTGGGACAAACACCACGTTGGAAAGCCATGTGATGTACCTCGCTTCCTCCACAAATCCGGCCTCTAGCAATCTATCGACTTCTCGGCGAAGCGCCTCCTCCTTTTCTTGTGACAAATTTCGGGGCTTTTGTTGAACATGCCTTTTTCCTTCCTCCACAGCCAGCCGGTGCACCGCCACCTCAGGGGAGACTCCCGGCATGTCTTGGGCGCCCCATGCAAACAACTCCCCAAATTCCCGCAATAATTCGATCAAAGGTGCTCTCATCACCTCGGGCGCCTGTGCCGATATCCGCACCTGTCTCTCTGGGCGCCCCTCATCCAGGATCACAACGAGCTCATCATCCACGGGCTCCGCCCTAGGCGCCTCCTCAAAGCGCACTTCGACATTGTTGATTCTGTGCTTGCGGATACGGCTCCTTGGTTCCTCTTCTCGCGCGTATCGTGGAACATTCCTTCCTCGGGAGATACCGACGCCCTGGGGCGCCACGAACTTCAGCGTTTGGTGACAAGTGGATGCCACCCCATTGAATTGTGCTAGTAGTGGTCGCCCAAGTATCACGTTGTATGGGGAGGGACAATCCACGATCCCGAACTCTACCGTATGTGTTACGCAATGCATTTCATCGCCTAGGGTCACGGGCAGGCGCACACACCCGATGACTTGGGCCGGTGCTCCCGAGAACCCAATCAACACCGAACTCGAAGGGCGCACCAACTCAGGCGCCAGCTGCATGCGCTCAAACGTGCTTTTGAAGAGGACGTCCATCGAACTCTCGGTGTCCACCAACATTCTTTTCACCTTGCACCCTGCTATCACCCCTTGAATCTCCAACGCCTCTTCCGATGGGACTTGGCACGCTTCATCCGGCTCTTGGTTGAAATGGATGTGCACCGCCGTTCTAGCCTCTAAAGAGGCGGCCCTTAGGCGCCTTGTTCTTTCCAACTTCTCCCTCAAATCGATGGTGCCTGTTATGGATTCAACCGTCAGCCGGATGCGCCTAGGCTCTCCGTGTTGGTCAACTTCAAAAGGCGGAGGTGGTATCGCTGGCCCCGGGTGAGTCTTCCCTTCATTGTCAACCTCAAGCGGGGGTGGTGGCATCACCAATTCCTGTCGAGCCTTCGGCTCTTCGTGCACTCTTTGGATCATTGGCGCCTCTGGCGCCGGCCTGGCCACATAAGCCCTATGGGTCCGGTCCTCCCCCCTTCTTACGAAATCGTTGAGCATGCCATTGTCAGCCAAAGTCTGAAGCTCGGCCTTAAGTTGATAGCAATCAGCGGTGTAGTGTCCCTTGTCGCGATGGAAGTCGCAGAATCTGTCAAGGTTTTTCTCGTTCGGCTGGCCGCGCATGGGCCCCGGCCACCGTATATGGTAGCCCCTGTCCTTCACATATTGCAACACGTTTTTTAGGGTATCGTTGTACTCCGTAAAATTCGCGGCTCTCCTCGGCACGGGGCGCAGCGCCTCTGGCCTCCTCTGCGGACCAAAGCTTCCTGACATGGGCCTAGGCGCCTGTCTCATGGTGTCATCATCGCCCCTTAAGCGCCTCTTCTCGGCCCTCCTTGCTGCCAACGTCTCCTCCAACATGATCACTTTTTGCACCCTCCGGTCCAAGTCCTCAGTGGACACCACATCCCGCTTCGACGGGACCCGGCAGAGTTCTTCACTGGAGGTGCACGCATCCAGACAAACTCCTAGTACCGCTGGTTGGACATCTTTAACCGCCATGGCGACCGAGATCCAACGATCGTAGAACTCCCTGAGCGCCTCCCCTTCCCTTTGCCTCACCTTGAACAACGCGCCTATGGTCAATGTACGGCGCTTCCGACTTGCAAACTTGGACAAGAATAACTCGGCAAATTGTTCAAAGCACTCTATGCGTCCCTCCTCAACTTGATGATACCAATCCAAGACCACCCCATCAAATGTGGACGGGAACACCTTACACAACGTGGCGTCCGAGCTATTGTGGAGTTGCATTTTTGTGAAGTAGCTGTTCAGATGATCTTCTGGGTCGGCCATCCCATCGTAGCTGGGTAATGGTGGAATTGTCGTTCCCGCGGGCTCCATCAGTATGCTCCGGGCCAGGGGTTGACGAACGCCGAACCGCCTGGCGACCCTCCTAGGCGCCCACACGTCATCGGGCTCCGTCTGATTATGCTCGACGGGCAGTCTCCAGGCGCGTTGACGCCCGGGCGTAGTAGGCTCCTGCTCAGTCTGGTGTGGGAGTCCATGTTGTTGGGACCCAGAGTCTTCCCCCGCCCTGTCTCGCTTTCTCCATCCGGGGCTGTACATCATCATGTCTTCACTTCGCTCCTCCTCCAATTCCCTCCTGAGCGCCGCTATGGCCCGATCTTGGTCAGCTATGATTCGAAATAACTCCCTCTTCGTTAATGAATCCCCCTCGTCTGCTGATAGGCGCCCAGGGCTCTCCTGTTCCTCCACATCCATGCTTATCTCGTGACTCCGCTGGCGCTCAACCTCCTCCTGATTCGAATTTCCCGACTTTGAGTTTTCCTCCCCACCGTTTGCGTCGTTCACGTTTTCCATGGATGTCCCCCCCTATCTGGCGCGCCAATTGTTCGAGCCTAATAACTCTCGGACCTGCTTCTCTGGACTTCGATATGACGGACTTCTCACCGGGCGCCTAGATCCTGCAGAGACAAGCGCCTAAGAGCTTCGAGATGCCCGTTAGCACTCCAACGCTCAAGTAAGATCCAAGTCTAGAGAGAGAAGTACTTTGTAGATTTTAGTGAGAGAAGCCAACCTGCTTAAATGCTACCTACCGAGTACTATTTATACTCGTCGAGGCCCCGACCAGGCTCCTAGAATCAAGCTCCACGTCAGCGCGTCATTAAATGCTCGGTACGGCCCAACGGTCGGGCGCCTCCACATGGCAGTTCCTGAGCTCCTGGCACCTGGCGCCTGCAGGGACCACCTAGCCAGGTGGCATACTCTCAGCACTCTGGTCCCCTTTTGTCGCTATGCGCCTGCTAACTGTTGACTGGGCCTTACTCCTATCTTTTATCCCTATCTCCTAAAGTGGGCTTGGGCCTGAGCACCTTGGATGGGTCAATGTATCCCAATATCTCAACTATGCACACTCCCAACAGTTATATTCCTTATTGAATGCGATATGTATGCATGCAGGGACATGCTGTCACCATGCTATTGCTATTGGCCTTGAAGCTGCTTATAACATAGCCACAAAGAATGATGAGAATCCAATTCTGCTATCTGTTCAAGAGCTGATTGAGAACGTTAGGCCAGACAAAGAATCGGAAGGTATATCAGGCCTGAAGAAGGTTGTCCGATTCATTGACGACGATGGGCTGAGCGAGGCACACGAGTATCGCCCTTACAAATCACTGCTTTTTGAGCCCCAAAAGAAGAAGAATGTAAGGAAATGTTCAACTCTGTATTCATGCCTGCTTCCTTCATTCTGTCTTACTGTTTCTGTTTTTTATATTGTGCACGGGGATACACATTTGTAATATATGTATATTTACACAGCCAACAAAGGCCATATGTTGCCAAAACTTCAGAGAATGCAATCAAGTGGACGAGGTGACGATATTACAAGAAGTGGTACAAAGACCAGTAGTCGCCATTCTGGATGCCACCCCTACACTTCAGATGTGGAACAAAACTGTAAGTTAGAACATTGAAATGGTAATAGTTTGATTCATTTTTACATTGTGTTAATAATGGGATTGATGTGTACAGTTTATGGAGTCGGAAGGTGAAGAGGTTTTTAGAGGTGTTAATCCACAGCCAGCTGAGGAGGCCAACCTCCACGCCGTCTTGATAGTTGGTTATGGCACTACAGTCAAAAGAATCAATTATTGGATTGTTCGAAATTCTTGGGGAGAAGGCTGGGGAGAGAATGGATATGGACAGATTGCCAGAGCTTCAAGTCGTGAAGGAGGAGAGTCCTTATTCTACAGTTACGCAATCATTGAGTTAAATAGGTATCCTTGAGACTTAAAACTTACCCATATGTTTGGTTTAGATATATTCATGCAAGCATTTATACCATGCATGTGATTTGTATTGCAGGCAGAGAAAAGGGAGAAGAAGTCGAAGTAGTAATGTTCAGAATCATGAGTCAGAGCTTTTGCTCAGTTTTGGATGTTTGCAAGGTTATTAGTCAAGGTTAAACTAGAGTAGAGAAAACGTATAGGTGGAGCTATCTTCCTGTTAAGCCAAAATGAAGATACCCATCACATATGATTAGCCAAGTAAATTTTGCTTTAGGTCGCGGCTGATACCATTAACAAGACTATACTCCATGAGCTTGAATTTGACTGGGTTGATGATGGATGATATGGATAACCGTTAAGTACTTTTTGCCTCTTGTTGTGGTATTTTGGGATGAGATTGTAGAGTTATTTTAGAAAGCAATCGAGACTTCGAATCCGCTCTATCATGTCGTAGATGATACCGTCGCGTGGCTGAAGTCACTATCGAGAATGGATTTTTTCTGATTAAACAATTCGAGTAGCAGTCGAGTTCGAGCAGACATAACTAGAGAAAAAAGGATGAACATTTTATTAAGGCATTAAACAATCAATCTAGGGGTAGATCAACTATATGATTTGAGTTGAGGGATGATGTAACGGTTGAGTTTGGAGGTGTTTAACGATCGGAAATCAAACAAGAATTGAACTGACTGAAAAATGAACACAGACGATTTACTTGGTATCCCTGATGATCAGGACTAATTCACGGGAGAGGTTGGAACGCTCTCCAGACTACTAGTATCATTAGATGTGACGGCTTAAAGAAGCTAGAAAGCAACTGTTCAACATATATACATCTCACAAGGGAGAGAGGTCTCGGCCGAACCCTAGCATCAGAGAACGAGGTTGATGCATGGATATTGCATGGGCCGAATAAATGAGAGAATGAGCTTGTGGTCTATGTACAAAAAGAAAACGAAACTACTCCGTTTAACAGCCTCCCCCAAATTGATGCGGGTCACAAAGCATCAATTTGCTCGACGGGTACCAATGACGACAGGAGGAGAAAGACTTGGTGAGAAGACCACCAGGCTGTTCGGCAGTAGGTATATAATGAAGATCAAGAGTTCCATCACGAACAAGATCATGTACGTAGTGCACATGAATCTCAATGTGCTTCGTACGATCATATAGTACCGGATTGACTATAATACGAATAGCACTCGTATTATCCACAAATAACCGCATAGGAGCCGGACACTGCATACCCAGATCAGAGAGAAGACGGCGTAACCTCACAAGCTCAGAAGTAACTTCGGACATAGACCGATATTCGGGCTCGGTGGAGGATTTGGAAACCTTGTCCTGCTTTTTGCAACTCCAGGAGATGAAAGCAGGACCATACTGAACACACCAGCCCGATGTGGAACGTCGGGTATCCACACACCTAGCAAAATCAGAGTCTGAATAAGCCCTAAGTGTAGCTGAACCACCTGCTGGGAAGAAAATACCCACCTCACGAGTGCCCTGCAAATACCGGAGAATGCGATGAACGACTGCAAGATGATCAGTACAGGGATTAGGCATAAACTGACTAACAACCTGTACAACATAGGAGATGTCTGGTCGAGTTGCAGCAAGATAAATAAGACTCCCAACGATGCTGCGATAAGAACGACCATCAGGCACCAGAGCACCGGAGTCCTGACCAAGACGCATATTGAGTTCCATGGGAGTAGAAACCGGTTTGCAATCGTCGAAGTGATGATGAGCCAAAAGATCAGAAACATACTTGCGTTGATTGAGCAGAAGACCAGTAGAGTTCCTTGATACCTCCAGACCAAGGGAATAAGATTGGTCGCCCAAATCCTTGAGACTGAATGCAGCATGAAGGCCTTGCTTAAGACTGTTAATACCTGCAAGATCGGTGCCAGTGATAACCATATCATCTACGTAGAGGAGAAGAACAACAATGCCAGTCGAGGAGCTCTTAGTGAACAAGGAAGGATCATTAAGAATCTGTTTGAACTTTGAAACCAAGTGCAGCTATGGTGGAGTGAAACTTCTCAAACCAGGCACGAGGCGCCTGTTTGAGACCATACAGAGAACAATTAAGGCGACATACTTGATCTGAAGTACCCAATGTGTAACCCGGGAGAAGCTCCATATAAACCACCTCATCCAGGTCACAGTGAAGAAAGGCATTCTTGACGTCCATTTGATAGAGAGGCCAATTCTGTTGTGCAGCCACAACTAAGAGAGTACGGGCGGTGGACATCTTGGCAACCGGAGCAAAGGTCTCATTATAATCAACCCCGAGTTCTTGAGTAAACCCTTGAGCTACTAGTCGCGCCTTGTACCTATCAACAGTACCATCTTGTTTCATCTTGACAGTATAAACCCACCGGCAGCCAACAACAGACTGAGAAGAAGGAGGCCGAGGAACGAGGGTCCATGTGTTACTAGCATGAAGTACGAGATCACCCTGGCTTGTTTGTATCGAGTAGGCACAACAAAGGTATCGACGCCATAAGTTGTATAGTCATGAAATTTTGGCGGAGGAATACCTTGAGTTTCCCGTAATGACCGACAGAGAGGAGGAGGACTAGGAGGAGCAGGAGACGGCGCGACTGTGGAAGGTGTAGAAGAGCTGGCGTGAGGAGATGGCGAAGTGGTGGATGATGGTGAAGACGTTGTAGGCAAGCTGTGATGGTGAGGACGGCTCGGAGGCGGAGTTGGGGGAGAGCAGATCGGGTGAAGGGGGAACAGTCGGATCATGGGGAGGATCATCTTCATCATCATGCGCACCAAACATAGGAAGAGACACGAAAAGAGAAAAAATGGAAGATGATGGACTAGACTCTTGGAACATGAGATGTTCAAAGAAAATGATAGTGCAGGCAATATGCATACGCTACAATTCGGGATCATAACACAAATAACCCTTATGAACATCACTATAGCCTAAAAATACACAACGAGCAGTTTTAGATGACAGTTTAGTACGTTCACGCTTAGGACGAAGAACAAAACATAAACAACCAAAGACTCGCAGTCTAGAATAATAAGGATGACGATGATAAAGAGCAAAAAAGGGGTTGGTATTATTCAAAACAGGAGTGATTTGATAGTTTATGAGACGAACCGCAGTAGCAACAGCTTTCGGCCAAAAACGACTAGGAACTCGAGAGGCAAGAAGAAGGGCTCGAGTAAGTTCAACAACATGATGGTTTTTACGCTCTACAAGACCATTTTGTTGGGACACATCGAGAAAAGACATCTGACTCAGAATACCAAGGGAACGATACAAATCATGAAGAGGAATGGAATTGAACTCCCCACCCGGATCAGAACAAATTATTTTAACTGTTTGACCAAATTGAGTCTTGATCATTTGAAGAAATTCAGTAGCAACAGCACGAAGATCAGATTTCAATCGGAGAAAATAAATCCAGGTAAAACGAGTGGCATGGTCAATAAAAAGAGCAAAATATCGGAACCCATGGCGAGATAAAGTTGGTGCAGGACCCCAAAGATCAGTGTGAATGACATGAAAGGTTCTGTAGTAGCTGTAATACTAGAGGGAAAAGATATGCTAGCTGTTTTGGCCTCAACACAACTGGTACATGAATGATGTGCAGCAAATTCAACTTTATTTTGGTCAAGTGTAGATTGTCTAAACATTTTTACAAGGCGATCTGAATGAGGGTGTCCTAACCGAGCATGCTAAAGATCCCAAACATTGTCTGATTGATACGAAAAACAAGAGGAAGAAAAAGGAGACTGACTACTAACAGACCTATGGGAAAGACTACTGACGAACGACGACTATGAAAGCTCACAAAGCTCCTCTAGATGAAAGATCCTCCCGTGTTTATTCCCCTTTTCGATCTGCCTCCCTGTCTTCAAATCCTGTATAGAACACCCGGACGGTGTAAACAAAATAAAACAATCCTACTCAGTTAATTGCCCAACAGAAACCAAATTGGGAACCAACTTAGGGACATGTAATGTATTTGACAAACTGAACTGTGACTCAGCAAATTTACCAATCCCACGAACACCTAATTGCTCTCCATTAGCAACGCACAAGGCCATGTTCTTAACCAGAATCACATTACTGAAATTATGTAAATCTGAAGTCATATGGTTAAAACATGCCGAATCGAGAATCCAAGTACTCTTTTTACCTGTGCCCTGGAGAGTGGCAAATGCAGCACTAATGGCGGTGGGCAGGGAACGCTGGAGAGCTGCGTTTACCATTTGTTCAACGTCGGCAGCTAGAAAGGAATTCCCACCAGCGGCAGCAGGTTGGGCGGCATATGCTGGCCGACCAAGAGCTCCTCCATTGCTCGTCTCGCCAGGAAACTGGGGACGCGCTGGACGATCCCAAGGATGAGCAGCTGTTGGGCGATCCCACTGGCGATCACCATTGCCACCGGCGGTAGCTCCACCAGCTGCCCCAGCTGCCCGTGCTTCATTATGTTGTCGCTAATGACAATCAAGCACTATATGGCAGGCCACCTCTTTTACAGTAAACACAGAAATTACGACGACGACAGTGCGTTCGGACATGTCCTTTCTCTCGACAAAAATGACACTCGAGTTCAGATACAGGTATGTTTCTTTGGAATTGAGGCCACCCCACAGCGTAGGCGGACGTGTCAGAGGCAGAACCGGCGGCGAAGACAACTTCACCTTTGCCTGGACGGACATCGAAGCGAACTTGGGTGCGAAGTCGACATTCTTCGCGGACAAGCTGGGCCAGAACTCCTTCGAATTTGAGATTATCCTTGTTCAAAAGAGCAGAGAATACCAGTTCAAACTCCGGCCGGAGACACATAAGAAATTGTAATAACCTTGTTTGTTGGCGCTCGATGAGGGCATCTTTGGACAGAACGGCCTACGGACGGAGGGCCACCATGAGGAGATCGTGTTCACTCCACAGCTCTTGGACGAGATTGAAGTATTCAGTGACCGTACGATCTCCTTGCTCCAGCCGAGCAAGAGGCGTCTGAATATCGAACTAGCGCGCCGCATTGATGGTGGAATAAGTGGATGCCAGGTGCCTCCACATGTGATTAGCAGTTGGAAACAATCGGAGACTCAAGCAAGTCGATGGATCAACCGATCCCAGAAGCCACGAACGGATCCTTGCATCATTTTGGGTCCAGGCAGCGATTTCTTGTGCGAGGGAAGGCGCGACTGGTTTTGGCGTGGTGCCATCAAGAATCCCAAGCAAGCCTTTGCCTTCCATGAACACTCTGAACTAAAATTCCCAAAGGCAATAATTTGTAGAGCTCAGCAGAACAGTAGGTCTATCTGAATCCATTGTGTTTGGCTCTGATACCATGTTTAACGAACTGATCGGAAATCAAACAAGAATTGAATTGACTGAAAAATGAACACAGCTGTTTACGTGGTATCCCTGATGATCAGGACTAATCCACCGGAGAGCTTGGAACGCTCTCCAGGTTACTGGTATTATTAGATGTGACGGCTTAAAGAAGCCAGAAAGCAACTGTATATACATCTCACAAGGGAGAGAGGTCTCGGCCGAACCCTAGCATCAGAGAACGAGGTCGATGCATGGATTGCATGGGCCGAATAAATGAGAGAATGAGCTTGTGATCTATGTACAAAAAGAAAACGAAACTACTCAGTTTAACAGGAGGAAGATAAATTTCGAAAATTACATATGATAATCGATGAACTGAGAAGGGAATTGAAGAACTAGAAGAGGAAAGAAGGAAAGGATTGAGAATAAGAAGAAGGAAAGAAGGAGAAGCATAATAAAGAAGGAGAAGAACAGAAGGGCAAAATTGATGAAGAAGATGAAGACTTGAAAAGGTTGTATATGTTACTTCTTACTCCCCTCGTCTATGGTTTACGTCCCATTTACGGGGGGCACGGTCAATTACAAAAAACACCTCCAATTAAATGCTTTTACTAATCAGTTTTAACCATTACAATCTCCACCCCTCAAAAACAGTTTTGTCCTCAAGACTGAAAACAATTGAAAACATAACAACCTGGTTCTTCGATTACCATACTATACTTTGAGAAAACTAGCTCACAAGACGAGACAAATTCCCTTCATAGTCATCATGAAGTTATATGTACCCTGTCCACAATTCATGACCTTCCCAAATGGTAATTCTGTCAAAATCTCTCATGATTAGCGATTGTGGCAAAATCTCTACCCAAATTTCATGTTTCAAATTACCCCTATAATTGTTCATCAGATTATTATCATGAAGCCAACTTACCCCATCTTATGGACATTTTAGATGAGATTTTAAAGTTTTGGTTCAACTATTAATTGTTAATTAGTTTCTGACTTGTTGTATGATCTGGTAAGGAGTATCTCCCCGATAAGTTTTTAATTAAAAGGACTTCGCCTGTTTCACACAAAAAAAGAAGAAAAAAAGGTTTGGTACCGAAATTGGACTGATGACAAACTAAAGTGACCACATTGGAAAGTTACCATTCGATATATAAATTTGACAACGCTCGACTGACTCAGAAGTCAGATCCCCAATTTTTTCCATCTTCTATCCTCAATCTAGGGTTTCTGAATCCATTTAATTTATTCACTATGGTCTCTGTTTGTTGTCGGGGATGGATCCCAATCTCCTTCCGCCGAGCTCCGGCTCCGACAAGTCGGTCGAGCTAAGTTGCTCTGATTCGCTTCCTCCATCCGGCTCCTCCTCCACCGATGAATCTGATCCTAAGCGACAGAAGGTTGAAGAGGACGTGAAGGTTGACAGCAACATGGAAGAGGAAAACGATGACGAGGAAGATAGCAGTGGTGAAATTGAAGACGACGATGACGATGACGATGATGATGATGATGCGATGGAGGTCCAGCAATGGATTCCTAAGGTACGAACCCTCATCAAGCGCATTCCGGAAGACGATGAAGGCTTGCAACGCTACATCAGGAAGATCAAAGAGAGCGAGGTTGCTATCAATGTGTTCTATCTCTGCTTAATTGCCGTTACCTAATTTGATTTTGCTTCCTTTGCCCATAATGATGCTTTAGTACTGTGGTTGGTGGGGTTTTTTTTTGTTCCACTAGGGTTTCGATTTGGACGAAAACCCCCTTCTGGAGTACCAAATGTTTGCTTGTGCAATTTACAAGGTCGACTTCAGTAGTGCTAAACACGCCCATCACGTCGACAACATTGACCGCTGTCTCAATCATGTAGTCGATGAACAGAAGAAACAAGGCAATCAGGTCTGCATCTCTTTTGGGTTCTTCCCCAATTCGCCCCCATTTATCAATTTACAACTTCAATCAACGTGTGGTATTTCGACCTTATATTCGTTTCTCTCCGCTTTTTCTGTAGCTGGAAAGCGTCCGCATTCAGAAGGTCAATTACAGCATGGACATTGGTTATAACTATTACATTACATTTGAGGCGAAGAAGAAGTTATCATTGGACGAGGAGGAAGACAAAGTGTATCAAGCCAAGGTGCATCACAGTATCTGGAAGGACATTAACATTCGTGTTTTCCGGGAGAAGCAGGAGCAGCAGCAACAACCACTTATTAAGGTTGGTAGTCACTTAACCAAAACAGAGTCTGCAGACTGCAATTGATCGTTCATAGAGATAGCAATCAAATCAGTTGCTTTTTTTTTTCTTTCCTTGTATCTCAAGCTTACTTTGTGGTTATGGGTTATTGGTTCTGATAGGATTCTACTCTGTCAAATCGTTGATGCATTATTGTAGTTGAGTTAGCTGTGCACGTGTAACTGCGTTGTCTGAATTGAAGTATGCTGCTATACATTTGCAGGTCTAATCACGAGCTAGCGTGGACCATATGGATTAGTTGAAATTCCTTCTAGAAAGATGTGTGATGATGAATGGTGTTGCTCTGATGGCCTTTGCACGGCATTTTCTGGCTACCCAAGCTCTCGTTGAGTTTATAGAACCGGTAGCTGAATGTTCTAATGTGTTAGTAACTATATCCTGGATGTGACTTGTTATCTTATGGATGGTATTATCATGTAATTCTGTGGTTTTAGTTTTGTAGTCTCAGATATGCTAATGTGGTAGTAACTCTCCAATGGATTTCGTGTTATAGACTGATGGGTTCAATTTACTGCATGCTGAGCTCAGTTACTGCATGCACCACATGTTGATCAACTTGTTGGATGCCTTGAACGTGCTGGATGAGTGGATGTGGGATTAGGCTGCGAATGGGACGTGTTGCTTACCAGTGGCGTGATGTTTGAGTTTGAACTCAGCCTTGTTTAACTTGTGAAGCTCTTGAGTTAGCTCACTAGTTGAGTTCAACTCTTGAGCTAGCTCGTTTTGAACTAATGGATTGGCTCGACAGGGTGGCTACTGGCTAGCAATCGAGCTCAACTTATAAGCATATCAATCAGTAGCTTATGAGTTGGATTGTTGATAATTCATAGATTTGTTAGATTCACGTATCATATCCTATAATGATGTTTAAGATTTTTGAATACATGAACAAATGTATCTCATTCTAATTTAAAAGAAAAATTATGCACCATATATAGATTGATTATATATGGAATACTCAGCTCATTTGTAACCCTATCTGTGAAAATCTTGGGCATGGTTTGGTTCGACGAGACAACTTTGAATGCTCTAAAGGTTGTGCATTCTCGAGTTCAACACTCGAGACATATCAACCTTATTTTCGTAACAAGTCATTTTGACTTATAGTGTCATCGATATGAAGGAAAGCACGGGTGAAGTTAGGGTTGAGAAACAATTCAATTCGTGTTTTGAGTCCATTTGTTTCCAGCAATGGAAACCATACCAGATTTTAAGCGGGTTAACCAAAACTAGATCAAAATCTTCCGGTTTGATCCATCTTAACCCAAAAACCATAATGACACAAATCACCCCAAAGCAACTCCATTAGCTTGAGTTTAATTGAAAAAAAAAATAGTAAAATTAGGTCTTGGTTGACAATCTTGAAAAATCAACATTAATTATGGTCAACCTCTTCAACATTGAAAATCAGCAAAAGAAAAGCTTTTTGTTGGCTGATTTTTTTTTAGAACCATGGAACAAATTAAGTGTCTCAATATTTTATTTATCAAGTCTAAACATTCCATGAGTTATTTTAACTTTTTTTTTTATGAAGAAAAAGTTATTTTAACCTACTCAATTGTTTTGAGAGGTTACCTCATTTTATTCTTAATTAGCATTTAGCAGTAGTGCCTTTGTTTTAGTTTTACCTATGTTAGTCATAGAATTCAGTGGGCGGTGTGAGATTATAAATTTTGATGCTAATTAAGAGTTGAACATGGAAATGGATAATAAATTGGAATGGCAAGAGTTGAACTTATTACAAACTTGAGTGACCACTGCAGGATGTTTACCATTCAATATATAAAATCGCTACCCAATCAGGAACCGACTCCAGACTCGCAAATCCCCAATTCTACCCTCTTTTCTCCTCGATCTAGGGTTTTCTTCCATTTAATTTATTCAGTTTGGTCTCTGTTCGTTGTCGGGCATGGAATATGGATCCCAATCTCCTTCCGCGGAGCTCCGAATCCGACAAGTCGGTCGAGCTTAGCTGCTCCGATTCGCTTCCTTCATCTGGCTCCTCCTCCTCCGGCGAAGCTGATCCCAAGCGACGGAAGGTTGAGGGAGGAGAAAAGAACTCCGACAGCGGCATGGAAGAGGGAAAACATGATAAGGAAGACAGCAGTGGCGAGATTGATACCGACGATGACGTTGACGATGATGCGATTGAGGTCAAGCAGTGGACTCCCAAGGTACGGACCCTCATCAAGGGCATTCCAGAAGACGACGAAGGCCTGCAACGCTACATCAGGAAAATCAACGACACGAGGTTTGCTGCTATTAAAAATATGTTCTCTCTCTAATTGGCCCTCCTCGGTCCTTAGTCATGTTTGCTCATAAAATCTGGATTCTTCCTGTGTTTTTTTTTACTGTACAGTGCTTCGATTTGGACGAAAACCCTCTTCTCGAGTACCAAATGTTTGCTGCTGCAATTTACAAGGTCGATTTTTGTTGTCCTGAGGATGCCCATCACGTCGAGAATATCCAGCGCTGTCTCAACCATGTAATCGACGAACAGAGGAAACAAGGCAATCTGGTCTGTCTCTCTTTTGGGTTCTCCTCTATTCCCCCCTCCATAATTTGTCATTTTTCTCTTTATAACGTACCTGCTGCGCTTCAATGGATCTGCCGCATGGTGACCTTGTATTCGTTTGTCGTCGCTTGTTTGCAGCTCGAACTCGTCGGGATTCAGACGGTCAATTACGGCTTTGACACCGGTTATAACTATTACATTACGTTTGAGGCCAAGAAGAAGTTGTTATCCCAGGAGGAGGAGGAAGACAAAGTGTATCAAGCGGAGGTGCATCACAGTATCTGGAAGGACATCAACATTCATGTTTTCCGGGAGAAGAAGAAGCAGCAACAACAACAACCACTTATTCAGGTTGGTACGCTGTAACTTAACCAAATAGAGTCTGCAGACTGCAATTGATCGTTAATAGAGATAGTAGTAATCAAATTGGTTGCTTTTTTTTTTTTTTGTACGTAAAGCTTACTTTGGTGGTTCTTGGCCATTGGTTCTAATGGGATTCTAGTCTTTCAAATGGTGAAATGATATAACCTTGACTTGAGCGTGTATATATTAACCTCATCAACAACCACCGATTAATTGTTTGATGCATTATTGAAGTTGAGTTAGCTGTACCGTGTAAGTAGCATCGTTGTTTGAATTGAGGTAGCTAGGTGTGTGTGTGAGTTATATTTGTAATCACGAGCTAGGCTAGGCTTTTGGGACCATTTGGATGTAGTTAAAGCCCTTCTAGAGAGATTGGTGATGAATAATGATGGTGTTGTTCTGAACTTCTGATAGCCTTTGCATGGCGTTTTTCTAACTAGTCAAAGCTCTTTGTTACGTTTATGGAACTGGAATAGTATTGTGTGACTTGTTATCTAATGGGTGATATTATCACGTAATTCAGTAGGTTTAGTTTCGTAGTCTCGAATGTGCTTAGCAACTCTCCACTGGATTTCGTGTTATAGACTGATGGGTAGACAATGCCTGCCGAGGTCTTAAACATAAGACCAACGAAAGAACCAGATCGATCTGTGGTAGCATTTCCACGGCCCCTGGCGGCACCATAGCTCGGCCGACGTCAAATACTGAGCTCAGTCAGCTACTGCCTGCACCGCATTCCGATCAACTCCTTGGACGCCTCGAACGTGCTGGATAAAAGCGCAGCTTCAAACCCTAAATAATTAAGAAGAAATCGTCAATTGCATTGCATTCGCTAGATTTTAGGCGACATATGATATTCCGCGGTGGTCAACAAAACAACCAACCCGCAAATTAAACTGACCTATACGTCAAACACGATCTAGTTCACTTGTATTCATCGTTAAAGTTGACTGAGAATATCTTTTGTACAACCCGTTTCTATTGGGTTGGGTGTGCATTTTGGGTCATTCAACATGTAGAACCCGACCCAAACAGTGTTGCACTATTGTCATAAGTGTTTGTATCTGAAACATATTTGTGTCGTAACTAAAAAGATTTGTGAGAAAACTTAATGGGGTCGTTTGGATGAGGGATTGTGTTGCAGGATTTGTCCACAATCCTTCACCTTCCCGGATTTGGTCACAATCCTACGTTTGGAAAGGCTAAAAAAAATGAGAGATTTTAATCATGGGAGATTTCGAAAACCTGCAAATGTAGGATTTGAAAATAGCTGATGGGGATAAGCTGTTTCAAAATTCCTCACTATTCTATTTTTTCTTCCAACTATTACCCCTTCCTACCCCCTTCTTCTTCTATCGTCACCACACCATCGCCGACCTTCTTCCTCAACTCCTCCGGCCACAACTCTTCTTCCCCTAAGCCAGCCGGCAAACCCAGAACCCAAGAAGATCCCCACTGCAATCAACCTAGGCGAACCCAAGTACCCATCATCTCAGCCGCCATTGATGAACCCATCCCAATCTGGGTTTTTAGGGTTTCAGTTTCTGGGGTTTGGGATTTTGATTCGTCATGGTTTTCGGGGTTTCAATTTCTGGGGGCTTTGGGGATTGATTCGTGTTGGGTTTTGATTTTGTGCCGGCCACAGGTTGTTCGATTTCCATATTAGTGCTTGCTGTAGTTTGTGCTTGCTTATTGAGGAAGAAGAAGACAGCGGCAGAGAGCCATAAGAATGGCAACGAAGGAGAAGCATTAGAATGACAAGGATTTTTTTGTAATTATGATTATCACTTACAAATACCTCATTCACATCCAAACAAGAAATTTTAATCAAATAACTCATTTAAATTTTCTGGTTTTTTAAACGAGAGATTTGGGAACACATCCCTCATAAATCCCTCGTATTAAAATCCTCCATCCAAACGGGCCCAATATATCTTGTCATATATTTTTCTTGTGGGTTTCCTTAGTCTAATACATTCTTCAACTTAAAATTTAGACGTAGATTAAATATAAATTATGATTGACTTAATATTTTTTCTTGTGTACAATTTTAGAAGAAATATATATTATAAATGCACTAGCTAGCTTATAATCACTGTTTATGTACAGAACTAGACATGTTGAAAAAAATTGCATTTCATTAAAATCCAAATAACATTTATGCATATCGATACTTACCGCCTCGATTTATTTATTTAAAAATTTAATTAAAATCCAAACAACATTTGTAGTGTAGAATGGTTGCCTTATTTGTGTTGAGTTCTTCATTAAAAATATCTTCAACCTGACCCAGCCCAATTATAAACAAATCACATAGGGATATAATTCTTTTAAGTTGGTTTGAATTTAGTATTTTCAAAATCGAAATATATGTGCCGGGTGATTAAAATAAACCAAATCCAAAACACCCCTAATATTCAGACTCTTAACCACAACATATGAAGTGAACTGACACGAAGTATAAGAAAAACATTGATTACGACATTGCGTAGTCGATCACTTCATAATATGATAAAATTAAAGTATCCTTGGCAAACATACATCATATTTGACCCAAAAAAAGAAGCAACCGATCATCGTCCTGCCCAACAACTTGCAGGAAAATCAGGTAACAGTACACTGGAAGTAGTGGGGAACGGTGGTGTAACAAGTGGAGAGCACCAAATCGAGAGCCAAGGGGATATCCAGGTGCATTCCCAGCACGTTGGCTCTCAACGCCATGCACAGGCAGACCGTGGCCTCCATGTCTATGAGCCCCAGCAGCATCCCGCAGCACGGTCTGGTCGTAAGGCTGCCGATGTCGAGGCCGACCAGCGGAGTGCACACGGCGAGGCGGTAGATGTCGATGGTGCACCTCGTGTTAAGACCGTTGTCGCCGGGGAGCTCGGATGTCGGCGGCGGTGGGGGTGGTGCTTGGTCGGAGGAAGATGGTTGGGCGGCGGCGGGGTAGGAGCTCAGCGGGATGATGATGATGGCTAGGAGCGTGAAGACGATGATGAGACGGTGCAGAGGTGGCGAAAGCTTGGAAGAAGAAGAGTCCATGTTTGTCGTTTTAAGTTGCATGGAAGTGACGATTTTGTGAGCGGGGAGCTATAGGTTTGGTTTTATGGAGAGGACGAGACGTGGTTAGGTCAGGGAATTGGGTGGGTGGGTGGGTAAATTTGATTGGGGTGGTTAGAGTGGGTGGCTTTCAAAGAGTGTGATGTTATTGCTAGCTCCATAATGTTGTTTATTGATCAAAGATCGACGTGGAGAATGGGGGCACCAACTCTGATAAACTCAGCTAGGATTATTATTAGTAACCTAGCTACAATTGTTGCCATATGATCCTGAGGAGAGTAAATTGTCTTATTTCATGCTCTATGTCTAAGTAGAATGCCTAAAGGTGGTCTTAGCTTCAGTTGTTGCCATGTGATATTTCTAGAGGAGTGAATTCGGGGCTCTATGTGTTGGATGCATCGAGAGAGTCTAGAGCACTTGTTCTGCATATGTCGCTTGGCCGTTCAAATATGGTTTCTTGTGGGTTTAAGTGATTTTCCTATTTCGGAAATGATTATCAAAATTAGTCTATCTGGCATAGCGTTATGCTCTCTGAGCACAGCCAAAACCATACTCTTCAATGCGTCTTTGCTTGTAGTGGAGAATATGAAAAAATCTCAAAACAAAATAGTTTTGAGTATACTCAACTACATGTTCGCCCACTTGCTCGTTAGTTTCCTCTTTAAATCCAAGAACTTGTCCCTTTGGAACGTCCAATAAAGTTTAGCAAATGACGATTACTTAGTAAGTACAAAATAACTTATGTTTTAAGGTTAATCATAACCATGTTGACTTACACCCCCTACTTACCAATTCACATGCTTATGTAATGTCTTCCACCTCCTCTTAAAAATGTTGTTTGTGTAATATTCAACCATTTAAGACTTTTCTTGTAAGAAAAAAAAGTCATTTAAGACTTACGTAACATCTCGAACCTTTTTTCGACATGATACTGTCCGCTTTGGTCCTCTACACCCGCACGAATTACGATTTGGGGTGTAATTCAGAGTGACTTCCCATAAGGTCACCCATCCTTGTTGTACTCCACACCGAGCACGTTTAACTTCAGAGTTCTCACAAGAACTCCTCCATTATACCCCAAAACGCGTCTTGTCAGTTAATGATGATTTCCTACTTATGAACCATGGATCTCTCCCGTGCTTTGTCGATGTGGGATTTGTCTAAGGTGTTACATACACCCCCTAGGGACTCAACGCCCTCGTTGAGGTTTGCCCCACCATCGTTCAAGAGGGACCCGGAGAGACTCTGATACCACTTGTAACATCCCGAACCTTTTCCCGACAAGATACTGTCCGCTTTGGGCCTCTACACCCGCACGGATTTCGAATTGGGTTGCAAATCAGAGTGACTCTCAATAAGGTCATCCAACCTTGTTGTACTCCACACTAAGCACGTTTAACTTCGGAGTTCTCACAAGAACTCCTCCATTACACTCCAAAACACGTCTTGTCAGTTAAAGCCGGTTTCCTACTTATGAACCATGGATCTCTCTTGTGCTTTGTCGATGTGGGATTTGCCTAAGGTGTTACATACCCCCCCCCCCCCCCCCTTGGGACTCAACTCCCTCGTTGAGGTTTGCCCCACCATCGTTCAAGAGGGACGCAAAGAGGCTCTGATACCACTTTTATCATCCCGAACCTTTTCCCGATAAGATATTGTCCGCTTTGGGCCTCTACACCCGCATGGATTTCGACTTGAGTGCAATTCAGAGTGACTTTCCATAAAGTCATTCATCCTTGTTGTACTCCACACCGAACACGTTTAACTTCGGAGTTCTCACAAGAACTCCTCCATTACATCCCAAAACGCATCTTGTCAGTTAAGGCCGGTTTCCTACTTATGAACCATGCATCTCTCCCGTGCTTTGTCAATGTGGAATTTGTCTAAGGTGTTACATACTAAATCTCACACCCGATACCTAGAATTTTCATGAATTTCCAAATTTATCCTCATTTAGTTACTATGATTAATTAATTAACTCTATCTAACCCTAAACTAATCAACACAGCGGCAACAGGTGGGGATTTCTCCCTCTCTTTATGTGAATATATATACATTATACCTAGCGAAATCTAAAAACTAATAAAACCCAAGCTAGTAGCGCCACCGCCTGCAATCACTTCTTCCCTCCTCGCACGACCAAACCCATCGCCGGTACCTCCTCCACTTGTTCAACTCCTTTCCCTCGACCAAAAGATATCCCTCAGCTCTTCGAAATCACAAACCACCTACGGAAACAACAACCGGCAGATACGGGAGTGACGCCGACGCCGCATCAGTTCCTCCGTTCATCGTGTCCTCTGTTCGCCGGACCCCATAGCTTCAGATCGGCCTCTCTCTTCCTATAGGTAAGGACGATATCTCTAACTCTTCCAATCCGATAATGGCGTTGATGGCTATAATTAATCACGCTAGATCCTGCAAGTACGTAGAAGAGTTGAAGGGGAAATTACATGTTGGCTTTAGATCTTAAGGTTTTACGACTAGAGCACTTTTACTATGCTATATAGTATTGGTGCTTTAATGTACAACTTAAAGCTGTACCATAACATTAAATGTATAAGTTTAGGTTGTACCATAAAGCAATTTGTACCATTATGTTATGGTACAACTTTACAACTTGAAGTTGTACCATCACATAAAGGTACAAGTTCAAGTTGTACCATAAAAAAATTTATACAAAAAGTATAGGTACAATCTGAAATTGTACCATAACATAAACGTACAATTTTAAGTTGTACCATAAAGGCAAAATCCTATAGCACCAATACTATATAGCATTGTAAAATTTCTCTTACTACTAAACAATTGATGGAAAGCTTCAATTACGTTGGTGCATGTCTATGAATGGTATATGTATTAAGGAGTTGGTCGAGTTGTAGGCTGTAAGTGGGAGGTTTAATTGACTAATATTTTTGGGGCACTCACGCGTAGCTATTGGAATCTCATCAATGGCGAGCTTTCGCAGTTACTTCAAGTAGGAGGTTCACATCGATCAGGAAGTTTGACCGTAAATTAAGGTGCGTTGGTTAAAGGGCCTAGTTAGTAATTCATCCTTGATTACTTATTACGTGCTGAATGGCGCCTTTTTCTTGAATTAGTTGAGTGTTAGTTCTGATATGTTTAAGTTCTGCATTTGTGATTTGATGATTATGTGCATTCTTAAGTTCATGTGTATGCATAACATCAATTTCTCTACGGAGAAATCATATTAATATTGGAATTATAAGTTTAGATCTCCTTCTGTTGGAGGAGATCATCCTTGACAAGCTTAGGTTGTCGAGCAAGTAAGCAAGTACATGTTGAATAACATCTCTCCATGGTGTGAGAGATTGATTCGAACAAGTAAGGATAAATCACTAAGATAATAGGTAAGAACAAGCAAGAACATGTTTAACCCTTGCTTAGCTAGCTATGCATGCGGTACAAGATCCCCATTATGTGGGTGTTTCGCCTTAGATAGGCGCTGGATCCCCATTATGTGGGTGTTTTGCCTTAGATAGGCTCAGTTTACACGTTCAAACTCCCCATTGTGAGGGTAGTCATGTAAAGATATGTTATGACAAGTTTACCGAATGGTTGCGCTAGCTAAGTGGAGGGCCCCGATAAAACATGTAAGCAAGTAATAACGAAACCCCTTTCCTAATAAACTGTGCATTTTATTTACACGACCACCACATGTGCATGGCTCTACGTGTGTTTGAGGATGATTATAGGATTAGGACTGACCCCACGCCCGCACTCAGGAGCTATAAGGAAACGAGAGCAATTGGACCACTTATTGGGAGGAAGCTATTGCTCGAGATGTCATCTTCACAAGGGTTAGTGATTGCAGAAGCTCCCAAGTGAACTCCTTCACTTATGTACTTTTATTAGTAGGCTTGAGACGGATGCTCATACATGATTTGTTAAGAGGAATTTCCTACGGCGATTTGAAATTATTTTCGTTATTCTTTTCATTTTGAGTTATTTCGATTTCTCACGGGCATTTTGGTAAAGGTAGTGCTCGGCCGAGTTAGGGTGTTACACTTGAGGACGATTGGGAAGTAACAAAAGGATTTTTAGTACTAGATTACACGACTAGACAAAAGATGTGTTGAATAAGGATGAGTAAACAACTATGTTAATAAATTTTAACAAAGTCACTAAAACACATAACTGGCATAAGAATTTATCATCTAAAAAGATATAAAGTTGTGCTTTAAAATATTATAAAGAGTTTCCATTCACACAACTTACAACCTTAAATTTTCTTTTTGGTAATCAATGATTATATTAGGGATGACAATGGAGCGAGTTTGGGAGGGTTTTTCGAAATCATTTCCATCTCTACTTTCAAATACCCAAATTCAAACCCGCCAACCTCATACTCATGCGGGGAAGGTTTTACAAACCCATCGCCATACTCGTGGATTTCGGGTTTATATATTAAACATTATAATACCTGAAATTTTACGTGTAAATTTTCAACTATAACACTAAACTGACCTACTATATCATGAAGTCAACAAAATACAATCATTCTTAATACGATTCAGAGCATCTGATCCTAAAACATTCAATAATCCATAAGATAGAGTACAATATGATCCAAATCATTATTTTCTAACTCTGATATATCTACTAAGTACAATAACTAACTAACATAATCTTGTTAAACACAAGGGAAAAAGTGAAGAGTGAAAGGAGAATTAAATAAATAAAATGAATTTCACCGCAGGACCTGCTAAACTTCTTTGGAGCCCATGTGAGTGTGGTGGTTTCACGGTTAAATCCACGTACAACATCCTCAACAAGGAAAAAACCATACCCACCCACCCCCCCCCATCAAATGTTTTGTTGGATGTCCCCATGCGCGCCATATGTTTCTCGTGTTGACTGCTTCAGGGCGATCGAATACTCGCGCATGAGTTTAACTGATAGACTGTATCCTCAATCATTGAATCGCATGAACTAGGGGTGGCTATTCGGTTCATTCCAGTTAAACTGGCCTAAATTGACCCGGTCCCAGTCCGGTCTTTTTGTAAATATGGGGACCAAAGATTGGATTGGTTATAGTCATGCTTTAACACGGTCCGGTTTTGACCAGGACCAGTCCCATCCGGTTTTGACGGTTGCTGCCTGCTGGTAGAAGAAGAACGACGAGATGTGGACGGTGGGCGACGACCTGAGACGGAGGTAGACAAGTTGTCGACGAGATGCTAGTCGCAGGGTCGAAGCAGAGCGATCTGGGACAGAGCGGATGCTGGTCGGTGGTCGCGGAAGGTGCCTCGCTGGGTTGCAGGCTCGGAGCGGAATGCCAGCGTCACATTCGGATTTTAGCCCAGCGTCGCGTCTCTTTGCGGAGGTGGTCGGAGCAAAGGTGGGACGGAGGCTCAGAGCGGAGGTGGATTGGAGGCTCGGTCGACGGTCGCATGTCGAATTTAGGGTTATGGTCTTCGTGACACCGGCTGTGGTTTCAGTTGCGAGGGAAATGGATTGAAGGAGAGGTTGTGATGGAAGTGGAATAGTCGAACTGAGAGGGAGATTGAGTCCTTCTCCTGCAAGTGCAACCCTAGAGAATAGAATGTGTTGGGCTCGCTTGGGCTGTTGGGTGGAGTTGCAATGGGCCCGCGTGGGCCCTAGTGGGCTTTGCCTCTGGGTCTAGGCGGCCTTGGCCCCTCTAGTATGTTTTTGAGTTATCCGGTCTTCCGGTTTTGACACGGTTTTAACCCGGATTGGATTGGTTCGGGTTTTTTTGCTAATTCTCAGACCAAAGACGGGATTAGATTGTTTTACATCCGGTCCCCGTCTTAAACGGTCCGAGTTATACAGTTCGGTTTTCGGTTTTACATGTGGTCCCGGACCAAATAACCAACCCTAGTATGAAAGAACAAGAGTTTAGAGAGAGGATCTGGTGTCTAAGGGGGTGCTTAGTCACTTGACTAAGCCCCTCCTAGCCGTTGGATCCTTATCAATCAATCTTATGGTGAAAATAAGGGAAGGGATGATTAAATAATGTGAGGGGCAATTTTGGAATTATGAAAACCTTCATTTAAGTTTTTTATTTCCTCCAACCTGTTCTTCTGCGTTGCTAGCATCGCCCACATGAGAGAGAGAAAAGTTGCGGCGAGTGAGAGAACGCCGACAACGATGGAGAGAGAGAATATAGACCTCGACGACGATGGCAACGGTGGAGAGAGGGAAAGGAGATCGCGGTAGAGGCGGCAACATTGGAGAGAGAAAGCAGATTTGGCCGTCGTCGTCGTCGGGAAAACAGAGGAGAGAGAGACGATGGTGGAGGAGAGAGAGGGGTGTCGGTGGCAGCGGCAGTGGAAAGAGTCGGCGGCGGGGACGCATCTCTCCACATCGTCGTCGTCCGAGGGTAGGGAAGAAGAATCTGAGTTTCTATTTCTTCCATTTTTCTCGTTAAAACAAAAATGTATCCAATAGTTGGCACTTGCTTTGTTTTTGGGTAATTGGCTGCGTCGGAATTATAGTCAAATAATAATAATATCGTTTATTTTTTTCCTAACCATTATTCGATCCATTTGTAGATATTGTATGAGATTTTATTTTTTTACGTAATGAGTATGATTTGTATACTTTGTATGTTTTGTAATATTAATTTGTATACTTTATATGTATTGATTTGTGATGCAAGTCATGTCGATTTGTATTGTAAGTACTAATAATTTGTACTCTTATTATGTTTTGGGTACTTTGTCACTATCTTTTATTACAAATTATGATGTTTACAAATCAACCCTATAAATATTATGAAACAAATTGATACCCATTACAAACTATAATATCAACCATTACAAACCAGATGAACAAACATTACAAACATGGTTGACAAAAATGACAAATATTACAAAATAAAAAAGCTCACAAACATTACAAAAGAAACTGACAAATAGTACAAGCATACTAATCATATAGGGATGACAAATTACCCACCCATGGGTAATTATACCCAAACCCAAGTAGACCCATTGATAATGGGTTGGGTATGGGTGAAGTGCATATGAGTTTGGGAGGTTTATAGATGGGTTTGGGTAAGGTATGAATATTACTTCCATAATCTAAATGGGTATGGGTTGGATATGGATATCCATTTACTTGAGAGTGTTTTAACTACACATGCAAAAATTGGACCTATTTGTAAAAACTTGAAAAGTATAGGTACCAAAATGTAAGACCAAAAAAATTTAGGTACCAAAATGTAATTTTCCATCAATATTTTGAGGACTTATATGCAAAAAAATTAAATTTAGGTACTAAATATGCATATCTATTAAGTTTGGGTATCAAACTGTAATTTGTATTTGGGCATGGGTACAAACCCAAATCCATTTGATATAAACCCAACTCAACCCAAAGTAAATGGGTATGGGTACAAACCCATCAAACTCTACCCATATCCATCTATTTGGATTTCATACCCAACCCAATTGGGTTGGATAGTAAGAAACCCATGGGTATGGGCAAAGTTGTCATCTCTATAAACATATAGAATATCACTACTTACAATACAAATCGGTAAACTTGTATTACAAACCAATGAATACAAAATATACAAATCATAACATAAAAGTATACAAACTGAACAAACAAACATTACAAATTACAATATATACAAAATAGTCATATAAACATTACAAATGTAAAGAGAAAGATGACAAACAAGAATAATAAACAATACAAACTGAATTGATATAAACATTACAAAATAGATCGACAAACATTACAAAACATACTAACAATACAAAATGTCACTACTTACAATACAAAACAGTAAACTTATATTACAAATCAATGAATACAAAACATACAAATCACAACATAAAGTATACAAACTAGACAAACATTACAAATTAAAATGTATACAAACTAGTCATATAAACATGATAAACATAATAGATAAAAATAACAAACTATAATTTACAAAATTGTCCGACAAACATAACAAAAAGACGTCGCTGGAAAATTCATCGTTGACGAAATCTCTCTCTCTCAAGCCAAAAGAAATCTCTCTCGCGCAAGCAAAAATAAATCCCCCATGTCAGGTCCATTGGCGGTCCGCTCAAATGGGACGCCGGAAATTCAGGCTGCCGGCGGAGGAACTGAACGGTGGGAATTCTGGCCGGCGGCAGAGGAACGGGACGCCGAAAATTTATTGTCGACGGAGGTGGGAGTAAAGCTGTAAAGGAATTTATTAAATCATTTAATAATTAAAAATTAATAAAGTGATGCAATTACTACATTACTCTTCATTAAAGTAGATTAATATCAACCATCATATTTAAATGAGCTTGAAGGAAGGGGACCCCCTTAGTCACCTAATTCTAGCCCCAAAAATTTAGTCTAGTGATAATACTATTAGTTTTGAATTAGGAGGTTAAAGATTTGAATCCATTAAATAATATCTAATAAAAAACTCCTATATTACTATTATAAAAAGGACAAAATATGATTATTCGTGCCGGAGAAGAGACAAAACATAAATTTTGGTTGAAAAACAATATTTAACAAGCAGAAGTGAAAAATGATTGTCAACCAGCGGACTGACTCGGACTCAGTCGAGCTAATGGGTCAAGGGTTAATGAGTCATTCGTTTTAGTATGTTTAGTTCGGAAATATGGAAATAGTCATTATATTGTACTTATCCTGATAAATTATATCAAATATCACCTAACATATGAGGTATAACATATAATATTATACCAAAATGACATGTCGTATTTAGATCCAACATATAGTGAAAATTCACACAGACTTATATAACATCAATATTCAAATGTTCAATTTAGAATTCCAAAGATTGAGTTAAGTGAAAAGAAAAATCGGAAAATAGACGCATTTTGCAAACTAAAGAAAAAAATGACACAATTTGACCTCCAACCCGATACCTTATAGCGGTCGACCCGACAGGTGCGTGCGACCCGTTTTTCTCACCGAGCCAGAATCAAAATAGCTCGACTCAGAGGTCGACCCGCGAGTTGACAACTTACATGAGAAATCGTCCGAGGATTCCAAAAGCTGTCCTTTTACGTGAATTCCTAAAACCATATCCCAATTTTTGGAGTTGGTGAACCGCTCAGCCAGCCATTCACAAACAATAATCAATAAAGAGAAATTCAAAGCTGTTGAAAAAAGTAAAATAAAATAATCATAGGAAGACATTTGCATGTCTTCTTCTTCGTCTTCCTCTTCCGCGCTCGATCCAAAGGAGATTCGACCAGCGATTTCTACTTTCATTCCGGTTCCGGTTGTTCACCAGGAGCTAATTCCATCGCCATAGCTACAAATTCCCTCCAGAGAAATACAGAGAAGTTAAGCCGCCTACTCTCTCGTTCTCTACCCCGCGGCGCTCTTCGCCTCCCATTTCGTTTGATCGATCGTCATGTCGTTTTCCTTCTTCAAGCCGTCGCGGCCCAAGACGCCGCAGGAGGTGGTGAGAGCGATCAAGGATAGCCTCAACGCTCTCGATACCGAAACCGTCGTCGATGTTAAAGCCCTCGAAAAGGTTAATCAATCCTACAATCCATTTCCTTTCAATTTTAAGCTCTCCAGGACTGTCTCCAATTTCACGTCTTTACATTTTGTCTCCTTTAGTCTCGAGTGCGATTGCTGTTTCTAATGGTGATTATGCCGCTTCTTAAGCTGTCAATTTCTGTCTAGTTCGGAGAAATTGAACTTGGTTTATGAGGTTTGTACTTGAAGAAAGAACTGTTAGTTGGGAGCCTAGAGGACGCTGCCGTTTGTCTGGGTTCGTGATGATTTGGTTCTGGCTAAGTGGTGTTACTGTATTTGGAGATTGCTAAAGGAGATTTTGAGGGGAAGGGAATTCTGGAGAACGATATGTTAGTGTGGTTGATTTCAGGAATCGGAGGCCCTTGTGGCTATCCAAACTGTGTTGGGAAAGAGGGAAAGGGTGGTGGGATAAGAGTGTGCCGGTGAGACTTTGCTTTGAGTCAAGGGAGCAATTTGGCGGAGATATCATGTCGAATAGTCCTGTTATTTCTGTGATTAGTAGTTGTACTTGTGGATTCAGTTTGGATGTCTTTTGACACTTGACAGGCATCGGAAGAAGTTGAGAAGAATTTTGTGACTTTGAAATATATGCTCCAAGGGGATGCAGAGGTTGAACCGAATATGGAACAAGTTTCGCAGCTAGCCATTGAGATTTGCAAGGAGGATGTGCTTACTCTTATGGTTCACGAGTTACTCAATTTAGGATGGGCAGTAAGTATAGGCATTCATGGTGGTTACTTCTTTTGGCTGGCATTCGTCATATTGATTTCTTGTTGATTCTCACTTTGCTGATGCAGGCAAGAAAGGATTTAGTCCACTGTTGGTCAATATTGTTGAAGCATAAGGTTGAGTCGACTCATAGCTGCGTGGAGTATATTGAGAATCATTTGGAGTTATTAGATTTTCTTGTTGTAAGGTAAGCTTGTGTATCTCTTTCCATTTGATCTTGTCTTCCATATTCATGATGGGAGTTAAAAAAGAAGAATGTTTGGACATGGTAATTCAGCGAGCTGAGGAAGAGAATGCTTTGCCACCAATGAGATTATAAGAGCATCATTTTGCAGTGGCACTATGTCCAACTGGGTTTGAAGTTTCGTGTAGGTAGGCTCCGAATGAGATGACAATGCATTAGGATCCGTACTTCAACTGTCTAGGCATCTATACTTTATATTACCTGAAAAACTAACTCATGTGTTCAGCTTCTTCTACTTAATATCAGTATCGTGAAAAACAGTGGGATAGCCTCAATTGTTGCTCAAGATCTTTATCTTCGGGTACTTATCAAATTCAGTGTTACTACATGGGACTTATTCTTACCTCTTTTCACCAGCTATGATAGCAAAGAAATTGCCTGGAATTGTGGACAGATGTTAAGGGAATGCATCAAATTTCCAACACTTGCAAAGTAAGACATTCAAACTCGTTGTTGCTTTTGCCAGTCCTTAGTATTGTTACCAGAGCCAGCAGTATTTATTTTGGTTTTTAATGCGTCTTCTAGAAAATTTCTTGCTTTAAGAACTGAAGTAACGTAATTGTATCTTTCGAAAAAAAGTTATGTTACTCTTTTTGGTTATGGAAGGTTAAAGTTAGCTTCAGCAGGACGCTAGTTCCACCCTTTGCTATTGTTTATTAATTAAGGAGAATTGTGAATATGTCTCTGCTTGTCCATATCCTTGCAAGCATAGCACATAATTTTTGTACTGGGCAGATACAATTTGTAACATTGGGATGGTCCTTGAAAAGCAAAGCTTGTTGCTCTTTTTCTATTGTTGCTTTTGATTGTAGTCCAGTTTTAAGTTTTCACCCTGTCAAACTTTTATAGTGGTCTTTCAGATGAGCCCTTCTAGTGTGCTCTATAGCACTCATGCTATAAAAAACAAAAAAAAAGGTGACCTGTTGAGGAGGTAACCCACTAAATGACTGGTCCCACATCATTAATGGCAATCTTGTAAATAATGAATCAATGTATACAAGTGTAGGTACAAATTAGAGTTGTACCATATAGTATAGGTACAAGTTTCAGCTGTACCATTGAAGAATTTGTTTCACAAAGTGTAGGTACAACTTAAAGTTGTACCATTAGTATAGGTACAATTTTTAGTTGTACCATAAGGGATTTGTTAGAAAGTGTAGGTACAACTTAAAGTTGTACCCATGGTATAGGTACAAGTTCGGGTTGTACCATAAAAGAATTTTGAAAAAGTGTAGGTACAACTTAAGGTTGTACCATTAGTATAGGTACAATTTTGAGTTGTACCATAAAGGGATTTGTTAGAAAGTGTAGGTACAACTTAAAGTTGTACCATGGTATAGGTACAAGTTTTGGTTGAACCATAGAAGGATTTTTAGGAAGTGTAGGTACAGCTTAAAGTTGTACCATAGTATAGGTACAAGTTTAGGTTGTACCATAGAAGGATTTTGAGAAAGTGTAGGTACAACTTAAGGTTGTACCATTAGTATAGGTACAAATTTGAGTTGTACCATAAAGAGATTTATTAGAAAGTGTAGGTACAATTTAAAGTTGTACCACTAGTATAGGTACAATTTTGAGTTGTACCATAAAGGGATTTGTTAGAAAGTGTAGGTACAACTTAAAGTTGTACCATGGTATAGGTACAAGTTTGGGTTGTACCATAAAAGAATTTTGAGAAAGTGTAGGTACAACTTAAGGTTGTACCATTAGTATAGGTACAATTTTTAGTTGTACCATAAAAGAATTTTGAGAAAGTGTAGGTACAACTTAAGGTTGTACCATTAGTATAGGTACAATTTTTAGTTGTACCATAAAGGGATTTGTTAGAAAGTGTAGGTACAACTTAAAGTTGTACCATGGTATAGGTACAAGTTTGGGTTGTACCATAGCTGGATTTGGAGAAAGTGTAGGTACAACTTAAGGTTGTACCATTAGTATAGGTACAATTTTGGGTTGTACCATAAAGGGATTTATTAGAAAGTGTAGGTACAACTTAAAGTTGTACCTTAGTATAGGTACAAGTTTGGGTTGTACCATAGAAGGATTTTTAGAAAGTGTAGGTACAAATTAAAGTTGTACCATTCGTATAGGTACAAGTTTGGGTTGTACCATAAAGGGATTTATTAGAAAGTGTAGGTACAACTTAAGGTTGTACCATTAGTATAAGTACAATTTTTAGTTGTACCATAAAGGGATTTGTTAGAAAGTGTAGAATGTTGTACCATAGTGTATAGGTACAATTGTGAATTGTACCAGAGAAGATTTTTAGGAAAGTGTAGGTACAACTTTAAGTTTAGTGTAAAGGTACAACTCTAGAATGTGAGATTTTGACGGGCGTGACAATGTCAAGTAGTAGCCGTGAAATTTCCTGGGATAGTGAGAACTGCTCTTTGCATCTCACGGGACATCTCACGGCCGTGATATTTGCCTGAGGAATGAAGCACTGCTTTTTACATCTCACTTGAGTATTTTACGGTCGTGAGATTACCAGTATAAGGTGTCAGATTTCCAGTAGGAGACTTTCACCTGTTGAACTATCCCGTGTACTTATTATAATGGTGTTTCAAACAGAATGGACTTTTTTCCAGAACTTCAAACTTATGAAAAAGATGATTCATAATGTTCTCTAAACCTTGACACGAGCATTACATAGATCCATTCACAATGTTCTCTAGTAACTGTACATCATATCAGATGAGATACCCTGTTAACAAAAAGTAAAACGCAGTCAAAGCATTACATTTGTCTAATAAAACAAGCATCCATAACACGATTAAATCTGTCTAATTAATGCTTAAGTTTAGCTGCATGTAGCCCACACTAGTGCATCATCATATTCTAATTGGAAAACATACAAGCACAAACGCAAACACACATAGCTAAGTACTAAGGACTTTTGTTGGGTCATCTTCACTGCCCATCTTCCTCGTCAGTGCTCTCGTCCTCGTCTTCGTTTTGCTGGATTTGCTCATCTTCATTGTCCTCGCTAGAGTCACTGCCCTCTTCCTCAATGGTCCCTTTGTCCTCTTGATTTCTTTCCTTGTTTTGTTCATTGCCATTGTCCTCGTCGTCCTCTTCACTGCCCTCTTCCTCATTGGTCTCTTTGTCCTCTTGATTTCTTTCCTTGTTTTGTTCATTGCCATTGCCCTCGTCGTCCTCCTCTTCACTGCCATTTTCCTCATTGGTCCCTTTGTCCTCTTGATTTCTTTCCTTGTTTTGATCATCGCCATTGCCCTCGTCTTCCTCGTCACTGCCCTCTTCCTCCTCTTCACTGCCCTCTTCCTCATTGGTCCCTTTGTCCTCTTGATTTGTTTCCTTATTTTGTTCATCGTTGTTGCCCTCGTCGTCCTCCTCTTCACTTCCCTTTTCCTCATTGGTCCCTTTGTCCTCTTGATTTATTGCCTTGTTTTGTTCATCGCCGTTGCCCTCGTCGTCCTCTTCACTGCCCTCTTCCTCATCGGTCCCTTTGTCCTCTTGATTTATTTCCTTGTTTTGTTCATCGTCGTCCTCTTCACTTCCCTCTTCATTGCTTTCCTCGGTTGGCCTAGGAGATAGTTCCCAAGGTGTTGAGAATTTTTTGTAGTCAATCCTCAAGGACCTCATGATGTGATGGTTGCATTTGATGATGTAGCGTCGAGCTTCCTTTTCTCGATCGAGGCGGGAGAGAATGAGTGCATTTTGCTCGAGAATTTGGGCATTCTGCCGACCCAATGCCTCAAAATGGGAAATGTATCTGTCGGTGGATGGTCCGGCTTGAGTCGTAGTTTGGTGATGTTGTGCTGGTTGTTGCGGAGACTCCTCGACCATTTGCTGAACAACATGCTCCGATGCGTTTGCCTCATCTGTTGCAAGAGGTGGAGCAGGATGAGGGAGGCCAACAATGCCTACCACACCATTCTCCTTAACCACCAAACACAGACATGATCAATATCAGAAGCATTAGTTACATTTGCTCAATGTTCAAAAGGAACTAGATTAGTAGGCAATCCAAAACTTGCACAAAATGAATCCTAGATTGTTTGAATCCCGACTAGTTCTGTTTTAGCATTCACTGTGAAAAGGAAAGTGTTGGTTGGAACATTTACCTTTGACAACAAATATAGATCCGCAAGGTTTTTTTGGGAGATTGGTTGAGTGGACTGGGCAATGGTGCAATGAGAACCCACCGGATCAATGCCAAAATGCCGAGCTAGCCTTGTGATGTAGGCACCTCCATGGATGGTCTTGATTTGTTTGTTGGAGGTCATCTTCTGTAGGGTTTTCAGTATGACTAAACCAAGATGAATTGGGGGATCTTTTGCCATAGAGAGGAAAAAGTTCAAATCCCGCTTGGTCACACTCCCCGGGCTCCCCTCCCTAGCTGCCACAGAATGAGCGATAATGTTGTGGATGATACGCCATGGGGGAAGAAGATCATTCCCTTTATAGTGGGCAGTGTCAGACTTGTCCACATGGTTTTGTTTTACCCTTTTCCACATAGCATCGACCAATTGTGCTCTTGGTGAATATACTTTCTCTGAAATCAAACCATGACCTGTAGTGAGAAATCCTGGTGGGTATATCTGGAGTGCCTCTGTGAACTCAGTGATGCTCATCTGTCTCGCCTGTCCTCCAAGGCGAAAAGTTATGTTGTCTTCGGGCTTGTCGAGGTGAAATTCGCACATAAACTTGATGGAGAGAGTGCTGAGGAACTCAATGGTAAGCTCTCGGTAGATGACCTCATTGATGGAGAGAACCTCACACCATGCCGGGAGACGGAGGCATGTGCGAACGGGGTCCGCTGCTCCGAGGCGCTCTAGGAGATCCCAATCAATGCATCTTTGCTGCCCAAATGGGAGGGGAAGGAAGCGCTCTAAAGCCCTCCTATGTTTGTCGGGTAATTGGAGGAAGCTGTGAAGTCCCCCTCCTCCAAGTTGAGCCTCCGTTTGTGGTGGTGGAGATGGTTGACGTGCTCGTCCTTGGTTGTTTTTGCGTTGTCGTTTGGGGGGAGTGTCTCGTTCTTGGGTTTGGCGGCGACGACGATAAGTAGCCTTCACTTTAGCAGGTGAGGCTGATGGTTGCGTGGTTTTTTGTTTAGCTTTCCCCATTCCTACAAAAACCAACTAAGCACATTAAGTCTTTAGTGAATGAGAGGGAAAAGAATTATGCATAAGCATATGCAATTCACAAAGAGACGTCTACACCCTAAAAAAATGCAACAAACCAGGAGCATTCTAATCACAATTAGGAATTCAAAACCCTAATTCAGACCAACCAGGAGCATTCTAATCCCAGGAGCATTCTAATCACAATTAGGAATTCAAAACCCTATAAACAGAACAATAACATAATATACTGTTTGTGGAAACTACAAGCTTATGAAAAGATACTGGAAGATATAGACTTACAGACTTCTCCCTTGACGTCTCTTTGAGTATTCCATCCTCTTCGATCTCC